ATGGTCAGAAAGATGAAGTACTGACCAAGTGCTCCACATATCGATAGGGTAAAGATGTGTTGGATAGCGGATGGGTGTCGTTGTAGGAACTTGAGAGAGCTGAGTAACTAGCCAGTGACAAGAATCACTGCACCGTTGTACAATATCGACCAGAGATTTATGTTGAACATCATGTGTCATCAGATTTGGTTTTGTGCTCTGTTTGCATCTTATTCTGGACTGCGCTTATGAGGCTGTCCATTGTCAAAGAGAGTAGCAGCAGAACCTGTCCAAAACCTTCTCCTTCAATTTCATTGGGAGCAGCATTTTCTTTGTACATAAACAAAACCACACCGGTGACAATCAAAGTGATGAAACAGTACTTTTTGAATGTATACGTCTGAAATAAAACATAATTTAAAATAAGAATATGACGTGATTTCCAGGTATTTCTAGTTTGTTGTACTTTGATGTTTATTTCAAAGTTTCTGACTTTGACGAGATATATATTATTTTCTCCTAACTAACAATACCAATTTAATTATGGCTTGAAGAAAATAATACCAATCAATGATCAGTAAAACTCACCTTTCCACCTAGAAGCACTCCAAAGATCATGACTGGAATAGGCTTGCCAGCCTTGCCAACGACCTGGGTGGGATAATTAATGAACTGCAGAGCCATATTACTGCACACCATCGCCAAGAGGCACATAAGCGCTGAGCAGGCATAGTAGACAACCCTGGTGGTATCCTCACCTTGTTTCATCACAGTGACGACGAGAAGTCCCTTGGCAAAAAGGCAGTTGACGACGCATTGCACGAAAACCAGTCCAAACATGTAGGTAAACTTTTCGATGCTGTCGCCATTGACGTACTTGCCCCAGGTAATCTTCTTCTGGAGTATGGCATAGGACGAGCTATTCGTTAAAGTAAAATTAGGTTATAAATAAATATTTAGATAGATTGAAAAAAAAGAGTTTTTGACAAAGGAAAAAAATGTGTAAAACATATTAAAGAATATTATTCTTACTTAACAGTTTTCTTGTTAATTAATTGTGGAAGAATTATATGATATTTTGGCAGGAAATTTTTTTATTAGTAATATCATGATGTTGTATGTATACCTATAGTAGTAATTTTATATCGCTATAGCGTGGAATAAAAATATATGAGAATTATACAAAAAATGAATCCCTTTTATTGTTCTAAATAAAAAGCTAATGACGATTTTGTACTTTAGGAACTGATTTCATCATCTATGAATTATTTACCAATAAGTACGTGCTGTCATGAATTAATGTGAGAAATAAAATTTTGAATAAAATCCGTTTTTTGTTTTTTTGTTTAAAAAAAAATTAATTTTCAAATTAACAATTGTTATTCAAAAGCTTGGTCAATGTTCTTTAGCAGTTAATTTTTTCTTAATCGTTAGAAGTAAATGTTTTAAATTTATTTATCAAACTTACTTGATTTTGTTGAAAATTATAGAAAAAGGTTTATAGTGGTGTGCTCCTTTTGTAATGTATTATGCTTATTTAATAATATTAAAGCTACTGGGTGTTTTCCGCAATCGTCACCAGCAAGTAATTTAAGGTTGCGCTCTACGTTACCGACAGATTGGCAAGTCAACTACCTTGAATTGAACTGGCGCTCTATTCCGTAATCTGGCCAGTTAAAACAGCGGACGACGTGAAAGTCAAGAAAAAAGTGAAGATTTCATCGCTGTTGACTGTCGTCCGCTGTTTTTACTGGCCAGATTACGGAATAGAGCGCCAGTTTAATTCAAGGTAGTTGACTTACCGACCTGACGGTAACGTAGAGCGCAACCTTGAATTACTTGCATTGCAGGTGACGATTGCGGAAAACACCCTATGTGAACAGCTCCACTTAGGGTGAGATTACATGCAGACAGGCAGAATCGCGCTAAGTTTAAAATATGTTTCAATATTAATATTTAAAACCTGTTACGTAAGCAAAGAAATAATTATCGTAATACATTTGTATTTCTGTATTAACCAATATTTATGAAAAAAAGGCGACGAAAAACGTTTTGTCACAGTTACATTTTGTTGTACATACTACGTTACATCAGTGACCCTACTGACCGACTGTGCGATGTTAACATAAATCTATAAAAAAAGTTATGAAATAATATTTGACACGTTTTATTGTAAATGAAATTGATTGTAACTAAGCCTTTATTCTGTTATGACAATAATTGCAATTTTTCCTTTATTTTACTAAATTATTCTGAGATGTTATAATTTAAACATAATTTAAACTTAGCGCGATTCTGCCAGTCTCCACAGACTGCGAGACTCCATGTAATCTCACCCTTAGTCCTTAGTCGATGGCTCTGCGGTAGAACTTTTGCTTTCGAACCTTAAGTTCTTGGGTTCAATGCACTTCTTTCAGCTTTTTTATTTATTTTTTTTATTAACTACTTTATTTTCTATTGAAGCGTAAAAAAATTGTCTGCTCTCCGTTAATGTCAATATAAGTCTGAAGATGATACATCAGTACAACACCATTAAGAATATGAGACAAAACTGTTAAATACATTATTTTTCCCGTTGAATGTTCGATGAATAAAATCTACATGAATATTCTACTGTGAAATAAATTAAATATTGTTTTATTAAAGAATCTGTAACATAAAGTGGGCTTAAAATTTTTTTGTACAGATTTATGTTTATCATATTAAAACGTAATAGTTGCGGCTGGTTAATAACTGATTAAATGGCTCTCTCTAGAGCCTAAACTGCCTAAAGCTCTCGTTCAGAATTTTAGGGCCACTTTTTAGTTCAGAAATCCGAAACGCTAGATGGCGCTGATCCAAATAATTATTCTATATGTATACTTATTACTATACTCTACTGAGCCACTCAGCCATGTAATCAATTATAAACCAACCGCAACTAATCTGAAAGGTAAAAGATAAAAAGATGACACTATTTGTGCTGTTTGCGGCAAGTATACAATTTATCTTTTACCCGAAAATTGACCTCCAAAAGTGTAGACATTCTACTTATACGGTTTAATAAAATCGACCATATGGCACTACTTAGAAGTGATTACTATAATACTACACATAACTTCACGTCTATCTTACACCGTGCTCTCTTCACCAGACTGATGATAAAATCAGAGGCTGTGTTTGCTGCCAGCATTTGCGCAAATTATATGGAAGCGAACTTATATGGGCGGGGGTCTGGGGGAGTATCTGGGGGAGTATCTCATATAGAGCTCTGGGCGCTCTGCCGTGTGTTCCAGTAGCGCTCTGCGACAACTTACCGACAACTTAAACATGACGCAAGATATCGTAAGACATAATTAAGTTGTCGGTAAGTTGTCGGAGAGCGTTACTGGAACACACCCCTGGCGTTCTATCATCTTTATTTATGAGTCCTGATACTCCTGATGTTCATTAATTGTAGAGTACTTAGAAGTTAGAACCAGTTTAGAACTAATTTGATTACTCAATTAAATACTCATTACACAATATCATGTAGGTACTGCCTGACCTATACTTGCATGAATAGAATCATAGACAAGGAAACAAGTGTCCAAAGATTCAACTACTTTAAAAGACGTTAGTAGCTGAGGACCGGAATTGCATTGAGGACTTGAGACTGTTAAAACTACTTCTGACTTCTGATGACAGCTTCAAACTTGCCAAACTACCTCGAGACTCCGAACTCCTAAATTCATCTTGAATAACTACAAGTAGACCTCAATCCTCATGCGTGAAATGACAAGAATAAGCAAAAGACAAGAGATAGGGTGGTGGTGGGGCAGTATTTTTTAACCTATCATCGCACTCATCCTCGTATCGCCTCGCTGCTCGCAGTGCTCGGTGCTCGCTGGGCCCTCGTACTCCTCGTAGCTCGCACACACCTCACACTCACACAGTCACACCGTCAGACAACGTAGAGTGTATACCTATTGTAGACCGTGAACCATTAGTTGTAAGTTGTAAGACCGTATGCACAGTACTATATCATCCTCACTCTACATTATAACTTACCCACGCGAAGTGTGAACTCCTGCAAAGCTGCGAACGCGAGAATATACGAAATTACGAATTACAAAACGAGTACGCGCGCGCGTGTGTATTTGTTGCGTCTGATTGCGTACTTGCGTACTTAACTTGCGTGAGTCAGGGTGAAATTGACTGCTGCTGGTGGTGCTATGCTATACTCTGTTCTGTTCTGTATAGTGCTGGTGTGCTGTGATGTGTGATCTGTGAAGCACACGCGTGTTTACCTCACAAAATTAAATAAGAAAGGAAAGTTGATCTTAGGCTTTTTCGGCTCTGTGGGCTGTTTGCATTCTTGTAAATCATCTTTAAGATCAAGCGACAGCAATTGAGAGCATACAACGTACGCAATGGCCAAGGGACGTGCAGGTGACGGCAATGGTAGCGATGAAAGTAGCAGTAGCAATGACGGGATCAACCCTAGCTGTCCGAACAATCAGTCTTTGGGGACCTCGGCTACTGTTAATACTCCTCGACGAGCATCCGTCAGATCGAAGCCCTACGAACCCAACAATGTGAGTGTTGTCACGTTAGAAAATTATTTAGGCATAGCATGGATGATAGACCTCCAACCAAGGCCTCCCGCCTTTTCTCTCTTGCCTTGGTCAGGCTGTAGGTACAGCCTACAAGTTCTTTTACGCGGTGCTAAACCCAAATGCATCGTTTCTTTTTTTGTTTAATCATACGTGCAGGTACATGAACTCGTTTAAAATGATTTTTTCCGTGTGTAAAATATGTAGAAAAGTGCAAGGGTGAAGGATTTTATAACCTCAATCCCCACCTCGTGGATCGTGTATAGGAGTCGTAGTAATCGTCATCGTAAAGCACCTATCTACCTATATAGTTTTGGAAGTGTGTGCAGAGGGTGACGTATTGTGATTATAGGTATTCAACTTGAGTGACTCCATACTTATAATTTAACTTAGTTTTTGTTTTGCGACGAGTTTTTTTAGAACTACTCCTATTATGAGCTTAGTTTTACTTGTCTATATTGAAATGTTTAGATGTGGGCCTTTAAAAATAATTTATAAATTAGGAGAAAAACGTTTATGTACGTAATGCACGTAAATAATAAACGTGCGTACTTATGCCTGCATAGAAGGGTCATGTCATGCACAAGTCTGTTTCATCTGTAAAACATAACAATAAACGTAAACTTAGAAACGAAATTTGTATTTGGGTCAAATACTAATTTTTAGGTATGTAGATATATGGTGCAAATAGACACTACGTTATTTAATATCTTTCACTAAGCTAGCATCCACGCATTTTAAACTAAGTATTTCAGATTTTTATCTAATAGAGTAGTAGAAGTAGTTATTCATTTTCAAACTTGGAACTATACATCTTTAACATTTAAAATTTCTCCTTTTTTTCAGTCGTTTATCAAAAAGGTTACATCAAAAGTTTCCGATTTTATACCACAAAACTCATGGATCAGTAAATGGATCAACACTTCACAAGATGAAAAAGAGTCTCAAAACATGGAAGCAGAAAATTCTCAAAGCGAGAGTTACGAGGAAAAACAATTTCATCAACCACCAGCGAAACGCGCTCGTATACGAATGGATGTAATACATCCTCCAGGAACATTTGCAATAAAATCTCGAGACAGAAAAGTATCGACTCAAGTCGAATCCAAAGATCTTTTTTCAAATCACAATGATACTGTGAGTTGCAGCTAATTTTGTTGACAATAATGGCAAGCAAAATTTAATCTCATGGTAACTTAATTTTTTCCCGTTTCAGACTCAAGATTTTTTAGAACCTACAGCAGCTTCGTTTGATAAAGTGCCACGTTTAGTATCATCAACACCAGCATTTCCCGTTCGAACGAACAAATCGTCTGAATCAAGGTCAGCACTAAACATGTTGATGACTGAAGAAAATAATGCCGCCGCCAATGGAGCAGATGATAATTCAGAAACAAGCGAAAGTACGAGTGGGTGCAGCTCGTTAATTCCACAAAATGGCCAACAAGACAGACAATCTGGTATAAATTATCATTCACCTTTCGGCAAAAGAAGATATACAAATGAAAAATTCGATTTATGTACGTGTATTTTTGTTTTAATCTAACAATAGCTTGATTGTCAATTTCAAAATATTTTGTTTCATGTGTGAAATTGATGATGCATTTTTTTACAGCAAGTTTTTTACCATCATCGAGATCATTATTATTAGATGGTATTTCAAGAGATACGTTAGCAAAAAGGCAACCAAGTTTCAATCCGTCTTTGGTTAACAGTTCAGCATTAGAAAGATCGTCATCACTGTCTTCTCCCTTTTATATGGGTAACACAATGTTTGGAGGTGCAAATGCAGCAAATTTATACAGAAGCAACAGCGTCGTATCCGAACCATCGCAAGTAAGCATCAATGTAATATTACAGTTTTTAAAAGTTAATTCTTAATTATTTTTGTTAATTAAATTTTGCTATAGCTGAGGCCACCGACCCGTACAAGCGTTGAAGTTAACACATCTAATGAGGCATCCAAAAGCGATCTTTCGGGTATGAGCACGACAGCTCGACGCATTCTCGAGACGATCGAACAGTTTTCGTCGCCAATTTCAGACGCAAAGAAAATCCCTGTAAGGGACGTGATGGGTAGCAATCGAAGTACCAGTAATAGTTCCTTGCTGAGTCAAATGACGTTAAATGCGAGTCGGAAAAGACAACATGAAGACAATTCACCGCGTGTGGGCTTTAGGCACTTGGCACGTGAGCTAGTGATCCCAACAAGACCAGATTTATTACGGTTACGCAGACACCAAAGACTTCAAAATACAACAATGAATGCCAGAAAAATCGCCAACGCGAGAAATATTTCTACGCCACACACGCCGATTCCAGAGAAATATCACATTAGGTATGAGCTGATAAACTTTGAAATCGGTGATTTAACTATGTTTAGTTCCAAAGTAATCCAGTAAGTAATGGAAAATTTTATTTCCAGGTCGGAAGAGGAAGAAGAACCAAAACGTCCAAAAAATTCATTGAAAGCTAGGAAAAATATTGAAGAAGAAGATACAGTTGAACCTGTTAATCTTCCAGCCATAGTTTTACCAATATCGAATCTTCCTCGTTTTGATATATCTTTGCCAAAACCTTTTTCTGCTGCTTCGTCAGATAAACAACAAACTCCCAGTGCAAACAAGGACGACTCTTTTAAATTTGCTAGTCCGATAAAATTACCTAATGAGGAAAATAATTTAAAGTCCTTCAGCAACTTCGTATTTAGCAGACCTATTTCACCAAGTAAAGTATCATCCACGTTAAATGAGTCAATGGAGTTGTCAAAAACATTAAGCGTAGACTCAAACGATTCAATATGCACCCAAGACTCTATGCCTAACTTTGTATGGAGTGGTTCATCTAAATCTCCTGTGAAACCCAAAGATAAAATCAAAGCACAAGACGAGGCAGAACCTAAAGGACCAAAAGTTGCAAGTGAATTGAAGACAGGTAGTGTGATGGACTACTTTTCAAAAACTTCGTCGTCGTCTTCAACGATTACTATCAGTGATACATTAGACGTTTGGGAGTGCAGCGAGTGTTTGATAAAAAACAACAGCAAAGAAACGCACTGTGTAGCTTGCAAAAGCTCTAAATTAAAAGTTTCGAGTGATGTCATTTGTATCGATGATGATTCTGATGGTAAGTCTTGTTATGTTAATTAATTTTTTTTTTTAATGTAGAAACATTTAATTCATTCAGAGTAAACAAATATTTAGCGTAAGAGTAAAAATCAAAGCATGTCAAATAATTCTATTTACTTAAAAAAAAAAAAAAATTTCTTTTCAGAACCTGAAATAATAATGACTGTAGAAAATAACAAACTTCGTAAAACTAGCACTAAAATTCACGGTAGTAGTGTCACTCCAAACCCTAGCTCCATTATTTTTGGGAAACTTGACTCTATCAGTCAGTCTGAATCTACAAAAATACCTACTCTAAATTCCACTAATTCGGTACCTGATAAATCAGTGTCGGAAACAATGTTCAAATTTAGTAATGATCAGTCGAGTAAATTGTCGACCACATTATCCGGCAGTAAATCATCGTCAACTTCAAATGCATTCAAGGTAGACAAGAGCTCGTGGGAATGTCCTTGTTGTATGGTACAAAATACTCAAAATGCAACCACTTGTCCGTGTTGCAACACAGCTAAGCCTGGAAGTATAAGTACGAGTCCTAAGAACACCATAGGAAGCACAATATCGACGTCAACATCGTTCTCCACGGGCTTTGGCGATAAGTTCAAGAAACCCGAAAACTCTTGGACCTGTGAAATTTGTATGATTAATAATAAATCGGATGCTGCAAAGTGTGCAGCTTGTGGGACACAGAAACCTGGTGCAGTCATGTCCAGCAATTCATCAGCCTTGTCATCATCGTCGTCTGGGGTGTTTACGACAGCAAATAGTTTTGGAGACACGTTTAAAACTCCTGAGGGATCCTGGATATGTGATGCTTGCATGCTTAATAACAAACCAGACACGATCAAGTGCGTTGCTTGCGAGACTCCCAAAACTGGTGGTGCTGCCGAGACTACTCCAAAACTTCAATTCAAATGTGATAAGCCAGCAAGCACATCGAGCTTTAAGTTTGGCATTGACAAAGCTGACGAAGTTTCAACCAAATCTGATAACGCAGCTCTAAAGAGTTCGTCAAAGACGAACGGTTTTACGTTTGGAAGCAGCACCAGCAGCACTTCGTCTGCATCGGCCACGAATTTCAGTTTTGGTGTACCAAGTGCTGTGACTGACAAAAATAAGCCTGCCAATAGTAACCCTATGCAAAGCGTCGCAGGTGGTTTTGTTTTTAAACCAAGCAGTGACTCGGTGGCCAGTGCAGCGACGTTCCAGTTTGGTGCCAAGCCAACAACAAAAGATAGTCAAGAGGAGGGAAAGTCAGTGGCGTCCACGGCAACGTTTTCATTCGGAACACCAGCTAAGACAGATATAAAACTACCCACTGGTGGCTTTGTGTTTGGATCACCGATAAGCACAAGCACTGACAAAAAAAACGAAGAAAAAAAGGACAAGGACGAACCAAAGCCCGCTTCCTCGGCTGTATTCACGTTTGGCATAACAGCTGCGACGGCTCCACAAACTAACAAAGATACAGCTAGCGATGACAAGTCGAAACCAGCAAGTGAAACACCAGTGGCTAGTGATACTGTTTTTGGCTCATCTAAGCCTGCTTCCAGCTTCCAGTCTAAAGTTGAAACAACGCCTAAACCAGTTGTTTCAGAAAGTGAAGCATCAAAATCGACAACCGAAACATCACAAACCACTGCCAACTTCTCTTTTGGTAGTAACTTAAGCAAAGAAAACCCCTCACCATTCGCATTTGGAGTACAGTCTGGCAAAACTGTTCCTACTACCACAACACCTTCGTTACCAGTATTTTCATTTGGTAAACCTGTTGAAACAACAACAGCAGCAGTCCCAGCACCTTCAACATCTCAGCAGGCCGAAAATAAAACTGCTGTTCTGACATTCGGAAGCCCTGCTGTTTCAACTTTTGGACAAACGTAAGTTTTTCATAAAATTTGTCTTTAACAAATCTCTTTTTCACAATCATGATATTAATTACTTTCGTTGAACATCAAAATTAGGAACCAAACAACTGTATCTATTTTTGGTGGCACCAACGCAACTCCTGGACCAGCAGCTAGCACTAGCTCAACTGAAAGCAAATCGATATTCGGTGTCCCAGATAACAAAACTGCACCAAGTTTCAGTGAAACTAACCCGAAAACACCAAAATTCGGTACCACATCGACAGAAAACAAACCAGCAACTGAGACGTCGATATTTGGAACCATAACACCAAATTCTTCACCGTTTGGATCGAGTTCGAGTACATTCGGCAGTGGATCCGGGTCTAGTGCGACACCAAATCTCTTCAGCACGACAAAGCCGTTGGAAACTACGACAGCTGCTTCAGCTACTTCGGGTAAAAAAATTTTCTCTACGTCTGCATTCGATAAAACTATTTGTATTTGACGAATTTTCAATAATTAATTTTTTTCTCTAGGCATATTCACATTTGGACAGTCCTCGAAAACACCGGCTTCAACAACGGGTGGCTTCAATTTCAGTGCAGGCTCAAACGCAACAGTTACCAGTAATGATAACACTACCAACAATGATCAAAAGGGTATTTTCACTTTCGGTGCAGCAAGCAATAGTTCCGTAAACAATGGTAGCTTTGGTGGATCGTCAACCTTCAGCGCCACGCCAGCTGCTACGCCAAACTTTACTTTCAACGCGCCAAAGCCTGCGACTTCAACCTTTGGTGGAGCTAATACGCCCGCACCAATGTTCAATTCTCCCGCAGTTGTACCAAACGCTCTAACGCCTTCTACTAGTGGTTTCAATTTTGGTAGTACAAGCGTACCCGGTAGCTTCAGTTTCGGGAGTGTAAGTAGAAGTAATCTTACCTTTCGGTATTAAAGGTAATACAAAGGTTTGTGGGCTGATGAAATATTTTGTTTTTAGGCCACTGCACCGACAACTGGTACGTTTAATTTCAATGCACCTGTTGGAAGCGCACCTCCAACTTTTGACCCTAATTCTACGTTCAACTTTACGACAGGTAGCGGTTCGAGGTAAGTAAAGTTATTTTGTTTTTGAAACATATTGGATCGTTCGAGACAACATAAAATAATGATAGAATTTCTAATATTTTTTAGTGCTCCACCTGCGAGAAAAATTAAAAAAGCAGTCAGAAGAATGCCACGGCAGTAGACACGTCTGTTCATGTGCAAACTTTATAGTTTTGATCATTCACATGGAGATGAAAATTAGCTGTGAGAAACAATTATACATCGTAGGAAAAGAAAGAAAAATGCAAAACAATGTGCCAGTGCAGTGAAATTCCAGTGGAGTACTTTAGTTTTCCTTTTTCTGTTAGTGGTACTTACAAGAGAGTGTAAACACTTTTCTTTCATCCACATGTGGGGACTTTTATTGTACGTATTGTAAATTATCAAATTTAACCAGTCGCAGTAAAGAAAAAAATGCAAATTAAATCCACGACAGAGCAATGCTGGGCTAATGAGAATGCAAGTGTTCTGTTGTGTCTGCTCTCAAGTAAGTATGGTAAATCGATCCTGAAGCCCATTTCGACGTTCCTTATTTAAAACTGAGCTTGAACCTTGAAAAAATTTTAACACAGTTATATGCTTATTGTTATAACATTTGTTTTCGTTTCTCAAAGCTTAACTCGATGATTATTTATAATTTTTGTGTGCAAAGTAGAAGATAAATAAGCGAGAAATGATTCACAAAAATATCTCCACGACGTTCGTAAAAAGATTTCGTTTTAAATGTTTTATAAAATGTTTTTTTGTAGGATTTAAAAAGTGAGATAAAGGTTACGACTCTTAATATTATTTGATACAAACGCAACGAATCTTTTTTCGAAAAGTCACGGTAAACTTTTGACGTTAATTTTGATTGCTAAAGTAAACTCGTTAGTAATGATCCATTATATTCAATTTAGTTAACTTTATTAAACTAAATTTGTATCTATAAATAACAATTTTAACATATTTTAGACAGTCTACTATTGGTTGGTCCTACGATTACGCCGTGAATGTCGTAGTACCATCCAACAGGCTGAGCATTGTAATATACGTATAATAAAAGAAAATATGCAAAGAATTATAATACAAAACATAAAATGGCATTTGGACGAGTACAAAGTACATAGAAAATTTTTCTCCTTGTACGTAATTGAAATTGTATATTTTTTTTAAATATTGCGCTGAATAATTAACAAACTCATTATGAAAAGTAATATAGCTAAATGCCATTTGGTCTATAAATATATTTATATATGTTATAAATATTATACAGAATAAAAATAGATTTTCAATGGGACCTTTAAAAAAAATGTACAGTTACTCATATTGGTTGTTAAATAAATTTGTACCGAAATAAATGCTGTGCTATTTTTTGTTTTAACTAATATTATACAATCGTTGTACAATATATACGCACACGCTTTTTTTAAAAGTCCCAAGAATCAGAAACAAGGTTGAGTGCGATAAAGAGTGCTATCGTGCAATGGCAGTGTTTGGCAATCACATGCTTGACTAATACTGTTTCTTTTTTTCGTATGACGCGTACCTATATTATATGAATATAAAATATTAAAAATAAAAAAAAGTTGAGTCTTGGATGAGTGAATTCTTTTTCATTAAAAGATCTTCCCATATTATTATAAAAAAATAGCGCAGTTACAATGAATCGAAAACAATTTTCACCTCACAATTATATTACTACGTCTGCAATGACGTCCGCGTACTGTTTCTACGCAACTATTGATTTAAATGAAACAAAAATAACTAAAAGTAAGTAAGCACTGCGAGTAGAGAAAAAAAAATACAAGCAAAATACGCTATTGCAACTGTATATTATGTAGTATATCACGCTGTGAGAAACCCTAATTCTTATTATCTAGAGCGTGCCATTGTACTCTCAGCATAATTACTTGGATCTACTTGAAGAAAAAGAAATATATTGGTAGGCATATGACTTTTTTTGTAAAATTTAGGCATATGTTGAGGTAGATATCAATAAATCTTGTCTTTGTAAATAGTCTCGTCTCTGTAACAATTCGATGAATTATTTTTAATTAAATTTTGTTTTGTATTACTGTTACGTCTAAATTTTTTTTTTTTTTTTATACATATAAATATCTTAAGGGATATGTTTTTAAAGATTGTAATAGAATACTAACACAGATTACTGAAGCACTTAGTAAATCAGAAAATAAGTTATAGAGACTTCAATTATGATCACAACATTATGTTAGATGGTAAAAATTCCAAATGAGTTAGAAAGTTAAATGCAAATTGTTATATTTTTTCTAAACGATCAGCTCTCGATTAGTTGAAACAAAAATTGTAAAAGTAAACTAATAAAAAATCAACCATTTAATTTGGATTTATATCAAATTGTTATTACTTAATTGCTAGGTACCTTGACATGAAAGAAAACATAAATTCATGACGACCTAATGTGAACTTATTTTACTGTAATAAATTCATTAAAATATAGTTGATTTGAAATTGTAAATTTACAGGCTTATTTTTAATTGTACGAAAAATCGTGGAGCTCCAAACTTTCAAAGTAAGAACTGTTTTATTTTTATGTAATTAAGTTGTTACGCAGATGTACAAAGTTGAAATGTCTACTCAAGTATTGTATTTGGGAAAAAATCAAATTTTTCCATGGATAAGACAATTTTAATTATTTCATCCTTATAAAATTAAGTTCCTAAAATGATAATATAAAATTTAAAAACTATGCACAGAAATATTTCTAGAAATCGGAATGTCGGAATTCAAATAAAAGCATTTTTCCGCCCTCGGGTGGTTTTGGGAGGCTGGTACTTCCTCGGGCGAAAAAGCAGTTTTCCAGAACTCGTTCGAAAAGTCTCCTTTACGAACCTCGTTACGTCCCTCGCCTTCGGCTCGGGCCGCAAACCTCTCGGTTCTCAAACAGAGACTTTTCAAACTCGTAGGAAAACTACCATTATCTATGTATACAGTTTTGTGAATTAAAAAATAAATTAATAATTCTCAACAAAGTAATATTAGGTAGAATGAAAAAACTGAACATTCTTATTTTCATGATTTTTATATGAATCAACCATTACATTAAATAAAATAATTACACTGTATACACATATATAGAAAAAGTAAGTTCTATTTTTTATATAGAAAATTACTTCTATTGATCTAGGACTGATGGAACTCGAACGGATCAAATGTTACTTGGAATAAGTCATCCACGACATTCTTTGAAATTTTCTGTAAGACAGATGATAATCCTTGAAATTAGTAAATTGAAAAATTACTTAAGAAATCTTATCTTTTATATCCCATTTTGTTGATGTATTTGACGAAGGGTACAAAAATTTACACCAAATATTTTCATGGGTCTCTCGTGGTATGTTGGGCAGATGTATTATTCAACTTTGTTTTCCTTTAACGTTACCGCCTACTACAATTTTTATTGATATCGTATAGGTTTACCATTTTAACCACGTAAATTATGTTATGTTGAAAAAACTTTGAAGCAATGAAAACAATAATTAAAACTTCAACAGTTTCTGATGTCATATTTTGATCTAAAAATCATTTAGAATGAATAATAATCAATTACATATATATTTGCAAAACAATATGTTAATTACAAAATCACGGTCTTATAAAAGAGCAGCGCAAAAAATTACTTTTAGCCTCAATTTTTGATGCTCAATTTGAATCATTTTAAGTTAAAAGACAAACAAAAAATGATAAAACTGTTTTTTTTTTAATTTTTTATACTGATACAAAAATATTACTGTCCTCGGGAAGCTTGTGGAAAAAAATGCTTAAGTAAAAAATTTTTGTTAAAACTTCTGGCATGAATTTTATTCCTATACTAGACTTACAACAAAAATCGTTTCGATTCAATATATTAAAATGCTGCCTCGTCGTTTGAGGACACGAAACATTGACAGGTAAGTAATACAAGACAATCGTCAAACAAGACCAAATATACAATTTATCGCTCAAGTTACAAGTCTGATTAAACTCAGAAGTATTGAAATTAACTGTTTTTTCTTCTAATATTGATTATTTTGTTGCTTGCAGAAACTCTCTAGCCACTTTAGTGCGAGTGTTGCGCGCGTAAGTGCATTTATGTGGTCACACTTTATGTTGTTAATCTTCTTTGTTGCATCCAATACAAAAGAGGTTTTTTTTTTCTTCACTTGAGATAGGCCCCGTGTTTACTCCCAGGGAGATATCAATTATTGTAAGACTCGCATGGCTTCTCTCTGGGTCCCGCCAATCGTTTTTCTGTTCTTTTATTTTCACTATGTATATCACTTCTATTTCATGACAATTTAGGTACAATCTTGATTATTTCAATATTAATGAGCATAATAAGTGGTTTCTTTTCTGTTTGCATGAATTCATTATAGCTCGTAATTAATTATTATCATTATCATTATTATTTATAAAGTCTCTTACACTAAGAATCATCAGACATGAAGGAATTTTGGGATTTCAGTTCCTCTAATGTCTGAATTTGTTGACGAAGGAATAATATCCTGAAAAATCAATAAATAATGTTTTACCTTTCTGATTTTATATTCGTAAATTTTTAAAAAGCTAATCAAGGTATTAAATACAAACCTTTGTTCCTGAAGTGTCGCTTGAATTTCGGTCAGCCTTACTATCGACCGAGCCGTCTTCAATTCCGCGGATACCCGTGTGCACTGTAGACTACCCATAGTGTGTGCTTCTTCACTTAGTTTTTGGGCCTATACAAAATAAAATAAAAATTAAATGCTAACTTTCTACATAGACAAAAGAAACATGTATTATTTTAATAATAAAAAAAGGGAGTTACCTGTTTTTCGAGTATATCTGCAGGAAAAGCGCGTACATGCTGCGTCAAATCATCCCGATAATGATTGGCGAGAGAGGGTGTTAACGAAGGCGTTAAGGGTGGCTGTACTCGGGAAAGCGCTTGGAGGCCACCATTGCCTAAACTACCTAAATTGCCTAAGGTACTGATGCTCTGCAGGGAACTTATATTTTGAACGCTGCTATTTACACCCCCAGGACTATTCACTGTTATGATGAAAGAATTGACTTTTAACGAATCGCTGAAAAAGCTTTTGACTAGAGACATAAGTATTTGTATTGAAACTTACACTTTCGCGCGTCTAAACAGTCCTGCGTTTCAGAATGCGTTGGCGTAGGAGGACCTTCACCAGTAGTATTACTAGTTGTATCCACTTTTAATGGAATCATAATATCACTTGCACAACTGGATCTATCTCCAGCTCCGGACTACAATTTTTTAAGAAAGAAATTGAATAAAAAAGAAGTACCAAAACTAGGGTCCTATGAGCAGGATGCCCGCTTAAAAAATTACTTGAGCATTTACTTGTCGTGAGAGTAGAATTGCTGTCTGAATAGTTTGAAGAGCCTTTTGCGCATCAGGCTGCTCTTTGCCAGTAATTTGTGACAAAAGTCTTGGAAGATTTTGAAGCGAAACCGGCGGTCCAGTTGTATTACTTGCGTGTTGCTGCGTTGGAGAACTAAGTTTTCCTGACGTTTGGGATACAGATGTTGGGTGTGATGCTAATCTAGGTAACGCTAAAAAAAAATCATGAAAAATAATGGTTAAGGCGAGATGAGGAAATTGAAATAACACGGAAGGTAAATTATGATTGAAGTAAAACTTTAAATCTTACCATTTGCTAAGAGAACGGGCCCTTGGAGCATCGTGTCATGCAGACCGGTACTGACAATAGTCTCAGACGTAGGTGTCGAGTCACCCGGCGAAATGTCCATGTCCTGAGCCTGTCGATCTTGAGCAGCAGCTGCAGCCGCAGCAGCCTGCGCTTGGCTCTGTACAGTCATCGAGACCACGTCATCTCTGCAGGAGTCACGATCCCTATCGCGTTCGCGATCCCTACTACTGCTACCGACGGCCTCTTTGTCGGAACGGTCTCGTTCTCGCGACGAGATTTCATCACGATTACTCGTACCCGAGGAGCCCCAGTAATCACCACGCTTGTCCGATTGCCGTGACGATGACTTGTTGTTACCGTCCCGCGTACTACTACTGCCGCTATTCGTCCGCGAGTTGGAATGTTTATCATGACCTAAAGGTGTTGGATGTGAAACTCTGAGTATTCTTATTGATACGATAAAAAGTGAGATGGATGAGCACGAGACTTACTTGACCTAGAAGATGAGTAGTCGTTGGATTGGCGCTGGCGACTATCAGTTCGAACAATCCACTCCCGTGGCTTTTCCCACTGAGACACTTCAGTTTTACAATTGTAATAATACTTTTTACCCGAAGAGCTCATGTGTTCTGACCAGTCACCAAACCTCGCGGTTCGCTCCATCGCACCTCGCTCGTCCCCCCGCTTGTCCTATTGATTTTTAAATAAACAATTTTTTTTTTTTTTTTTTTACATTGCTACGCTTTCTCGTAGAGCAAGCGTACTAAGAGAAATAAAGTAAAATTATTTGTTTACCTGGCATGAATTGTGTGTTGGTTTTCTTTGAGAGGAAGATTCTCTTGATGAATTTGAAGATAATTTTATTGGATGTAATATCTATTTAAAAAGATGCATGGATGAGTTATATGAAATTTTAGAATTGGTACAAAGAATGAAATTGTGTTTAACATAAATTAACACGTGTAAAACAGCAAAAGATATTGGGTTGAATTGAACTCTTGTAATATTTGAATTCTTGGACTCATTCATATTTAATCCAAGAGTTTTTTCATATATATAAAAAAAAAAAAAAAAAAAGCTGAATAAACTCACTTCTCCACTGCTCCTATCATGATTGGTCCTGTGTTCAGAATCCCTAGACTCTCGACTTCTCTTGTCTTTTGGAGATCGTGTACAATCTACACAGACAAGATTTTCCGCACAATCAAATAAATAAACATTAAAATAGAACTTTGTCTACATTTTTGCTCCATAGATCACAATTTACTAAAAATGACAGTACTTATATGCACGACACTTTTTACTACTCTGTACTTTTTGCTTACAGTATAATTACAATATAATTTTTTTCCAATAGCATATCCAAGTTATTAAATACAAAACTTACCGGAATACTTATCCCTAGAGGATGACAACTTGTAGTCTCTATTTTCTCTCTCCTTCTTGTACAGAGGCTTGGTAGAGTAGTTGCGTGGACTGTCACGGTCCGCTCCCATGCCCAACCCCAAGCCCCCAGCTGGACTATAAGAGTTGCCATTGGGTGAATCGCGCGGTCGTCCTTCATACCTGCTCTCCGATGTCGCTGAGGACGAGTAGCCACCCTTAGAACTGCCGTACTTAGCGTTCTGCAATTAAAAAAGTCAAGAAATACACATAAATTTAAAAAACCCAGGACACAGGTCTCGAGGCTGTTCTTTATACAATATAGAGTTCAGATATTTGACTACTTGAAATACTAACAAAAATAAAGCAAAACAAGAGGGAAAAACAAGTGTTGTGACTTTGAAGAAATAGTGATAAAAACAACAAAAATGCAAATAGTAAATACATAATGAAATAGGAGATTAAAGTAGAATTAAAACATTACATTCTCATCACAAACATATTGACTTTGTTGATCTTTCATACACTTGCCAACAATAACTTTTGTACAAAAATAGTTGCAGATAAACAAAATCTTACATCTACAGAGAATAAAAAATAAATGCAAAACTTAGGCACATACTATATACATCTACATGTTCCATAAAACTACTGGAGCACTCCAAAATCTACCTGTTTTTCCTATTTGTTGTTTGATTGTTATCAAAACAACTTTACCGATTAACCCATAGCAAATGTCATTTAATTGATAAATAAAATTGTATTTCGCGTATAAGGAAAAAAAATGTATATCTAAAGTATGAAAATAAAAAAGAAAGAACCGCCTCAAAGAGCCAAGTGTGCATGTGTACATGTTGGCAGAAAAAAAAGCAAAAGGAAAAAAGATAGAGAACCGCGTCCTTGAACGTCCGTACTCGCACAACCGGGTAGTCGTCATCTTTGCGGCTCTGGCAGTGCCTACTCCACGACATGCTCGCCACGATCTCGTCCTCCTCCGCCAACACCTCTTCCTCGTCGTCGTGAGCAGACGCCCGGAGCTGCTGCCTATTGTAATCCGATGCTGACGACCTATTGATTTTTCTTGGCGGCAGCTCGAGTAGATCGACGTCGTCGAGGAGCTCGAGATGCTCGTTGCGACGACGCCGATGATAACTACCCGTGGCAACTGTAACGGGTACAGCAATAGAAGCAGAGACAGCAGTAGCAGCAACAGTCTCGGTCGGTAGCAGGTTATGTTTACTACGCGACGATGAGGACAACTTAGATGAGGAAGCAGCCGTAGATCGGGAAGTGCTACGGCGTCTGCTGCTGCGCTGCTGACGACGTTGCCTGGAGTGCAACTGTGACGACGAGGTTTCCTCGTCAACGTCGTTTTGAATGTTGATGTTATTGATATTGCTGTTGTTGATGTTGCCGCCACTAGCACCACTATCCCGGGGAGGTGGACATCTGCTCAGACCATAATAGCCGTCGTTCCTGCTGCTGGCACCGCGTCCCAGTGGCTGCGGCAGATTCTCCTCCGTCTCCTCGTCGTCATTGTGCTCCTGTTGCAAGAATTCGTGCCCGTTGTTGCTGTTGTCCACACTGTCGTCACTGTCGCTGTTTTCGGTGTCCGAAGAGCTGCTGCGCTTCCTACGATGGCTCGACCTCGACCTCGAGCGACGAGACGAAGTTGGACGCCGTCGCCGACGAGAGCTCCGGTGCAGCGGTTGGTGATGATGCTGTTGTTGTTGTTGTTGTTGTTGTTGTTGTTGTTGCTGTTGCTGCTGCTGCTGCTGCTGCTGACGACGCCCCGAAGACGACACGTCCGCGAAAAGCTCACCTCCGCCCCGGCTACTCTTCTGCAGACGCGCAGCCGACGACGACGACGACAACGTTCCGTCCCGCTTCTTTTTTCAATTTTTTTTGCGCTCGTTAGTTCGTGTGGGTTATTTATGCAAGTATACATATACATATGTGATTTTTTTTAGTTGAGGCGCCGTCGACGAGTGAGCAAGTAGGAAGAAATTAAAAAAGAGCGGATGGAGGGTGGATGATGATTTCGTGAGAAGAGAAAAAAAGAAAAGAAAAGAAAAGATGAGACTGATCTCGGTTAGTAGTTGCTTTCTTATTTGTTTATAGGTATAAAGCGAGGAGATTCTGAAATGGGAGTGGGAGAGCGGAAGTGCCTTGTTTTTTTTTTGCACTCTCACACCTGCTGGTGGTTAATTGTAGTAAGTAATGGGGGTGGTTGATCAAAGAGGGAAAGTGTGGATTTGACGGGTGTGTGTTGGAGTAATGATAGAGAGAAAAGTCGTCGCTCTACGCGGGACAGTAAATCGGCTCCATCTTTGCAGAGGAGGCGCGCGAGAGAGAGTATACATGAGCCGCCTGCCAGCCACCACTGATGGTGGGCATGTATATATTGTGTACGTACATTATATACAGTATACATGACACACAACGACAGCGACAGCATCAGCAGATAGAGCGATATATACTGGATGTCGGATAGGTAGGAATAGGCGTGTAGCACTCATAACCTACGGAGGACGAAGTCGAGCACCGCCAATACCCCAATATCCGTTTTTTTCCGTGTTAATTGTTATAATTGTGAATCTTATCTTGTTTTTTGTCTTCTGTTGTTTTTTGTTTTGACTAGTAGAAAGGTTGTCCATGAGAATTTTACGTTACAGAACAATCTTGACAACGGTCTGGATGCTTTTTTCATTTGCCAATCACACTGGCAACTTTGACGTTTATAGGCTTTATTACAATTGACAACAAATAACTACTTTAAGCATGCTGTATTTAAGTACTTGCTCATAGATCTAATCAATGCATAAAATGGAAATACCCAATATAATTACTTATTTGCAGACACTAAATTGGTATAGAATTTTACTTTAGCAGTGCTATAATCATTCAATTAAATGAGGATACTGCATACTGTAAAATATTGATACTTTATTTATATTAATTGAATAAATTCATTAATTTTAATCAGTAATACGATCAAGATATCAAAGTGTTGATACAAAATAAAATTCAATAGAATTTTCAGTTTTATTTTAAATGAGCAAACTAAATCATTTTATATTGCAGAAATATATTGCTGTAATTTATAATTATCCTTAAACTCAAGAACTGATAAAATTAATTCTTTTTTGAAAAAGTATCCAGTACCCACTTAAATAATCAATTGTGTGACAAACTCATGAAGACCCAAAGAACCAAATAAGAACAAACAAAAAGCTGTACTTTTAAAGCACATTGTACTGATGCAATGATAACTAAAACTTGAAGAAAAAAAAAAAAACATCCACAGAGCCAGAAAGATTACAAAATTTAATGTATAAGTACATAGTGATGGAGAAAGATGAAAGTGAAAAAAGGCTGTGTTGTAACAAAAGTCAAATCAGCAGCAAATGCACATTTACCTGGTAGGGATGGGCCTGATGCTTTTCGAAGTACCTGAAATCAGAAAAGATAATGGTTCCATTGAAATATATTTCTCTGTGTGTGAAAAAAGTCAACGTTATATCAGGGGTTACTATAAAGGTGCAGGTGTGTAGAGTCCACACTCTCCACATTCACCCGCGCACGTATGCATACATAGACACATGCTCATTGCACACGTCTAATCTCTCTCTTTTACCCTTTCGCTGACACAACGAGAGTGATTAAAAAAAAAAAAAAAAAAAAATGTAATAAGATGCCCTCTTTTTATGGATAATTGGTAAAAATAAATCTCTTTGAGTTACGCATGTTTACAATATCCTATACACACTATCAATCGTCGCGATCTCTTTTATCGTATCACAAGTACTAACGAGTGCGAGAGAGACACTCAGGATGAGAGAGAGACTGCAACAGCGTGCGATTACGACTATAAAATCTAAGTTACTTGATAAAAAGAGGGGCACAAATAAGAATTCATTATGGCTTACCCATCACTGATCCTTTGTGGTTTCCTCGCATGCATTACCATCAATGCCGGTATCTTGGATAATACTCGTGGAACCCGAGATATATGTCTCTATGCGTGGTGATGATGATATTGTCGCGGAAAGTATATAGTATCTTGCGTATGATGAGAGAGCAAGAGAGGGGGGGGAGCTAAGTACGTGCGTATGGTGTATGGTCGAGTGTCTTCTTTGCCCCGGATGCCTCTATCTTCCCCCTGGGACTCGGTAAATCTCAGAATACTTGGGCGACGATGCCTGATGTAGGTACACACGCGCCACACACCGTTAATTACACGCTAGACCCCAATCTCTCTCTCTCTCTACCAGCCTTTTAAATCGTTGCTCCTGATGCTTCCTTTTATATATGTACTTGGGGGTCTGAATAGTTTGATGTCTGATTTGTGATGGCCGCGCTTAAGCTGCTACGTGTAGATGATGGTGATTGGGTCTGTGATGATGGCAACCTTCGGGTGACCCAGCAGCAGCAACAGCTCGTCTTCCACGCGACGCCAGCCACAAAAAAAAGCAAAAATGACGTTCCTTGGAGTATATTACCTTCTGGACACACATGCAGGCAGCTCTCTCGCTTTCGTTCACTTCGTCCCTCTCGTCTTTCCATCCGTTCGTGTTCAGTCTGATTCAGTATTCAACCGTTGCTGCAGGTTACTCTCGTTTATCAGCTTCTCCTTCCAGCTATATATAGTATAGAACACTTGTAAGTATACAACACTTTGACTTTAGCATCCCACCACCACCAGGATCCCAGAGACAGCTCTTGAGCTCTTCTCTTGCTCTCTATTCTCTACAGTAGAGTGCGCTCAGTGCGCCTCCCACACACGCCCTTTTCCGATTGACGCATGCGATCCGTATCCGCAACTCTCAACCAATCAGAGGCAACCTCCAGGTTGAGCCACCAATGGTAGTGCGCGCTTGACTTCGAAGCGGAAAAGTTTGAACAAGTAATTTATAAAGACTTTTTCCCAGAAAATCGGTTTATTTGTTACAAGGATAAGGAGACAAAAATAAACTAACGGTTTTTTTTTTCAAAACTTTAAATCCTATTTTATTTAATATCATAGAAATATCTCAATGCATAAAATGTTCACAGTACTTGTGTGTTTGAAAAGTATAAAATTATAATTATTGCATGAAAGAAACGTGCTGTCATTAAAGACTTGCACATTACTTTCTCTACAAAAACAGCAAATTATCACAATCAAAGATCCATCGTATATCGTACATCATGTTTTCCTTATGAAAAATCGTATCTTTTTAACAAAAAAATTAAAAGAAAAAAAAAAAATTTGTAACAGTTTTACTGGAAATCGTCGTGTTTTGAGAGTTATAGTGTAATGCACGATCAAACGTACAAATAACTCAATGCATGTGTGCACTTGGTATTATGATTATGTCTTTTCAAATTGACATTCAGACGAGCGGGTACGAAGCCGATGATGCTACACCGCAATGATTGTTTTTGTTTCGGGCTATCTTGATGTATCCTTTGTCACCCCATCCTTCACTCCAGCTGTTTTTCACCAACCAGTAGTCTTCATTACTTTCCTCGTCTGTGCCATAGCCAACGACAAGGACACCATGGTCGAGTTGAGTGGACGAGCATTCGGGCTCAAAATAGACTCCTGAAATAAATGAAATAATATTTATTTATTTTCACTAGTAACCTTACAAATGACAAAAAAAACGAGGTAAACTGAACGCACCACTTGAGTAAAATTGGAAGGTCTGGTGTGAAGCATCAATAGCAATAGAGACTGGGCCAATGGTTGCAACAGCAGCCTTTAGTTTCTCTTCGTCACCCTCAGGAACGTCGACAAAACCAACATCCTCAGCACCACTTTCTTCTGAACTATAACGGCATCTGTCGTCTTTACCTTCATATGGATAGCTTATTTCGGTATCGATGCCTTTATTGTCCCGAATGTACTTAAATGCATTGTCCATGAGACCGCCACTGCAGCCATTGTTGCCATATTTGCCGGAACAGTCGATCAGATTCTGTTCACTGAGAGACACAAGCTTGCCAGTCTGTCTGAAGTGCTGCCCTTCCAAAGCTCCAGTCTAAACAATAAAATAAGTTTTTGCTTCAACAATCAAAATTTTTTTTTCAGAAATAACAATTAAAAACCAAGTAGAACTACCGTTGAAAAAGACCAGCAAGAACCGCAATGTCCTTGATCTTTGACAGGAGTCACTGCACCCTGATCCCTCCAATCAACAGATTTGGGTAGTTCAACATTTGCAGGCATAACGAATTTCGCACCACGCAACTTTTGATAGCCTTGAAGCTGACCAGGTTGAGTTTTGTTGAATCCGTTCAAATAATGCACGAATTCATGATGGAGCTAAACATAATGCATCGAAAATATAAAACTTCTATTACCGTGGAAAGTAACATTACGTAGTACTTGAAACAATGATTACCAGATCAGCATATTTGTTAAGCTGTAGCTTGTAAGTAACGTGTCCTGTTTCGTATTTGCGATTGTGTTTGGCAATTTTGTGTTTGTTCTCCATAAAGATTTTAAGCCTGAACTTTTCTTCAATATCACTTTCATACCCTTTATTGTGCTGAGCCTACAAATTATTAAAATATTTCAAAATCGTGATTTAAAAATTTTTTTTACATCTTATTTAGTTTCTTTGGTACATTAAATTCAAAGATTTGGAAATCTTTTTTAATTTATCCTGACCTTAAAGGCCTTCCATTCTTCCAACACCACGTCGGTAAACGAAACTGCAGAAACGGCCGCAAGTGCTACCATGAGAAAGACCAATAGACTTTTCATGATTAATTAATTATTCTGAAAGTAAACAAATCATGAAATTAGTTATTGCCCATAAAACACAAACAAAAACTTAGAAGGAAGTCCATAGAGTATAACAAACATTGACATGACTACGTGATGAGTCAGGAGAACTCAAAGCATAAAGTGAGCAGAAATTTTTCAATAGACTTTAATCTTTAAAGTAATGTTAAAAGAACAACTTGGGGTTTACATTAATAACTGTGCACTGTAATAAGAAAATTTTTTTCAAGTTGAAGCACTTGATTAACAAAGATTCATTACGTATGTTACGTGGTAAAGAGACTTTTTATCATTATAACAAAATAATATTTACTAAAGTTTAATACCGTAGTTTTACCGCTTTATTAATTAGGTAATCAATTACAAACGTGATAACTCAATCAAAAATGTATCATAAACAATAATTTTGCAAAAAATAATTTCATCTCATGTTGTTACTCAAATACAACTTAACGCAATATCCCAAGCTTTGAAAATTATGTCTCAATAAATCAACATTTCCTATCCGTAACAGAACACATACCTATAAGTACTTATGGCGATAAAATATAATCAGGCGCGCTCATTATAGACAAAAAGCAGACAAAGAATCAAACCGGACAGTCGATTAAAAAAGAGGCGTACTTACAATAGAGGGAAAAAAAGGCTGTGACGCGTAAGATATTAACTAATTATTACAAGCACCAACGCGCGCAAAATAATGGAAAAATTCAACGATCTTGGTCGTAGTAAAATTGCGTCGCAGTGCTTAATTATAATATATGCTAAGCTAATCGTATTTTTTCTTTGTCGACTCAAGGCCCTTACGTTCTCATCTGACTCTCTTTTCTCATTCCATTCCATAGGTATACTAATATACTGAAAGGTGTGTGACATTGGCATTGTATATACTTAAACGTAAACACACGAGAAAAATAAAGCACACACAACACACTTTGAGGTCACGAACTACAGAAATGATATTTCCTGGAAAAAGAGTTCCTATATATACTTACAATTCTTTGACACAAGATATAAGTATACGACATAAACTACAAAACAAGATTGTATTGTGGGTAGGTATATAATTGTGAGATGATGTATCTAAGCACGTGGGTGCCATACTACTCTTAAAATTTTTTGTAACAATAAAAGCATTGACAAACGTTAAATAATTAAATTTCTTTATTATGGTTTTTTTTTTTTTTTTCGTTAGACGAAGATTAAACTGCCATTGTTCTGCGTTTCGCGTACGAAACAAATATTCAACAACACGCAAGACCTATATGTTTTATAATAACTCGAATAATTGGATTTAATGCTGTGGATAAAAGTAAGCTGCAAAAAACACTACTCGTAACACTTACCTGAACATAAACAACACAAAAAATAAATGAGTCAGCAGACAAATATGCGCATCCACAATAGAAAAAATGTATATTAGACTCGTGACAATAGAACGGAACGGATCGAATGACGAATACTCTGTTACGACTTGAAACTCATGAGCTCAGCTCACTCGACAAACTGCTTGGAAATCAGGAGAAACGCGGGCCCTTTATGGCTTTTTATGCGCGTATACTACTTCCTAGCTGTTGCTCCGTTGACTCCGTTTTTCTCTTCTCCGCGGGCTCTCCCCCACAATAAACTGTGCCCCCACCTAATTCTTTTTCTTTTCCCGCAGACCCGCACACCCACAACACATAATATAGTACATACCGTGGTATATACACTAAGTACCAACAGCTGGTAGGGTGGTAGGCTGCAGTGGCACACTGAGTACTCTACTGAGTACTGAGTTAATTCGCACAGATGAGAGATAAGTATGAGAGAGTAGTGAACAAAAAAATCAATTTTGTTACTGCGCATGCGCCGCCAGAAACAACTTACAAGTTACTGCGCATGCGCCGCCGGAGACAACTTACAATATGGTGGTCAAGCGCTAAAATTAAAAAAAAAAAAAAATCAAAGTCCTTTCGGTTTATATTTGTAGGTAACTCTCGTATTTTTCAACTGCATGTAAAACAAACAATGGTAATCAAATGACGCGAGGACAAGACAACTGATAGCATGGCGTCAGGTACTTTTTTTTTGCTCTCCACTCTGTCATTCCACAAAAAGTGTGTGTGAGCTGTGTTCGCGAAAGGCTCCGTCAATTTAAATCAGTTAAAAAGCCAATGTGATGATTCATACGATATATTATTATGAGGGAGTGCATGGGAGAGAGAGCTGTGTGATGGAATATAATGTTGCATCTGCAACCTCGTCGATGAGCGAATTATAGTTAAGCAGAATTTGTCGCGGTCGGTACTCGGATGGGTGACCGTTAAAATATCTCACCGATCACCTTCGCTGCCGATTTTTCTGATTTCTATCCTGCAGTTATCATCAACCAAGTGCTACGAAAGAAAGCTAAATAAGACTCGTTGGCACTGCCTACAATGTGTATAATCTGAATTAGAGTCACAACAAATTCTGTTTGCTCCATCGGATGAATTTTACTAAAAAGTATATATTTGACGCGTATACTCTTTATTTTTCAGTGGGGGCATGTGACAACATCATATATGGACATCCGAAATTTGTATCCCAATGATGTTTCTCGCCCCGACTCTACCTGGTGAGTCAATTAAAATTTTCCATGCAAGATCCCAATTGAATGGATACAAAAGATTATTATTCTGATTGTTGTAGAGCCAAAGTCGTCTCTATACACTTGCCTGTGATGAATGACTTTTTTGGATGGTTATCATTTCTTAAATTAAACACCTAAGGTTTAAAGTCGATTTTACGTATACACGACACATTTATTTAAATACAATTTTCGAGAACCAGAATCACCGATCGGCATGTGTATCCATGTCCATTCGTTGAACTCTTAACTGTCGAGTTTTAATCCATCGAGCAAAATGCTCTTACGTTAAGTATAAACATATCTTAATATATACATTTGTACAAAGAAAAATCGGTAGACACAAACACACATAATGTGTATACACGTAGTTTTTGTTTAAACGAAGTACGATGGTATGTGTTTATCTTTGAAGGAGAGGATTAAAAATGTTTGCAAGTTGTATTTTCTCAAAAGTAGTTACTTGTTTATAGTTTACTCGTACCGATAATTCTGTTCAAAAAGAAATTACAAAAAAAATCTCATCGACGACTCGTACAAGCTATTTAAAATTAACAATTTTTGAAACAAACACGAAAATAAAAAAGTTATTTGTATTTGTCATTTGAATCGTAAGTTAAAATTCAATCAGCCCATGGCCAGCTGCAGTTTTTTTTTGATAGATCGGTAACTATCGGTAAATAAAACGTATGCGACTTTTATCTCATTACATCCGCTACATCGTTCTTGGTATACGATACCTACTTGATAGATTCTCTTTGTTACTATATAAATAAATGCTCATCCCCATCACGTGCAGTGGGTTTTTTCGTCTTAAAGTTTTTCTTTATCGCTTCCTTGTGTTGCAAGCTTCTGGTTTGTCGTAAAAGTTCGTTCGAGAAGACGCACACGACACTAACTCGTATCGACTCTGCGCAATCATTTGTTTTTATCGAAAGTCTATATATATATATATATATATGAGAGCTAAAAAAAATTCCAGACGTTTTTTTTATTTTTCAATTCAATAATGGTCTGATCGCAGTTGTAATGCGAGTTCGTAACGAAATTTCATTGTTCAAGAATCGGAAAAAAAATGTTAACGATTTTTCGTACTTACACAGAGAATCACATGATGTTAGAAGTGTATGATGTATATTTCATTCTGTCTGGCAAATGTTATAGTTTTAATTTTTATAAGCTGCAAAAAAATGTAATTAAAATAAGAGGTAAAAAAATTCAATTTGAGTAAATTACGGACGCACGAGTATACATTTATTGACGTTAATTTTCGTATTTTTGGGCTGATTTTTTTTCACGTTCGGTATCATCCCATGTGCTGCGATGGCATATTTTACATTGCATGAATTGAGAAAAAAAAGGAGAGAAAGAGAGAGAGATAATAATGTTATTCTTTTTACCTAAGATAACACTAATGTTCAAAGTTCTACTTTCCGTTCAATATTTATCGATGAATGTAAACTCTACAATATGTCTCTGGCTGAAAAATAGAGTTGTGCGATCTTTGTTGTTGATCCACTGTGGTGTAGCTCGTTGTTTTTTTTTTTTTTTTTTTTTTTTTTGCAGGGTCATTGCAACGCTTAGGCTGACGGAATACGATAAACATGTTATCTCATTTTCACCGAGGCTATGAAAAATGTGACCCGAGTGTCTCACACTGTTTACAAACATTTTGGACATTTTGCCATCGTAATTAAAAACAAATTTGTTTTTTTCGCTTTATCATACATGTATTTTCATTATAAATTTTATACGATAATTATAAATTTATAATTATGGAACAATGACTAAAATGATGCTGCTCATAATATCCTTTTGCATGTAATAATCTTTTTTTTCAAGATCTCATTCTCATGAAAAGTTTCATCCATATATCTGCGTATTACGTTTTGCCCCAACAGCAGATGATAGTACGACGGCATTAATAATTAAAGAGCACAGCACGGAGCTTCTATTGCTGCAGTGTTGAAAACACAATACAAGCGTGCGACTCGATATCATCATCAGCAGCAGTCATGTGACTATTGTATTTTTTTTCCTCGCGCCTACAACGCAGCTGGAGTCTGTGTGTAACGTACAACATAAATATATATATATACGGGAACAAAATGTACGAGAGTATATTTAGTTATCAAATCTCCGTAATAATAATAAATAAATGTATATATATTTGATTGCACAGAATAATTGAATACGAAATTCCCCATGAATCATTTCACACGGTACAATAAAGAGAGTATACGAGTAAAAATTGATGCAAAAAGTATCATGACTGTGTACAACAAACATTGACTAATCGGTGCACTGCGGTCTGGGCTGACATCATTAATTTGTAAATAAGTATTGTCCACATGGCCCTACGAGCATTTGAATTTTATAGAATACATTCAAACATGATAAAACAAAAATAGAATGGACCTGTTCTTAAAAATTTGTCTTTTATCTCTTAATTCGCATTTTTTTTTTTCACATACTATTTATTTCTAACAAATTTCAATAACTGATATTAACATCTCATATGCATACATATTATTTTTCCATATTTACGTATAGCAGATATTAATATCTGCTAAATCAATAGGAATTAAATAACACATACACCCTCCCTTTTTTGCATTTTTTTTTTAAAGTAGAGGGGAAAAAAAGAAAAACTAAAAAAAAGTGGTCAAAAAAGTTGTGGTTGGGCATTTTTTCTTTAAAAAAAAAAAAAAAAAAAACTGCGAGGCATATAACGACGGGAGAAAAGTATAAGCAATGCCCTATTTTTGAAATTTATTTAACAGTGGAAGAATCGGTACATACATTCGTTGGTGTAAAAATAATACATACACATGTATGTTTCGTGATTAGGTATACGCAAGTAGGAAAAGGATTGGAAAATATATCCGAAAAATATTAAAATAAAATTATACGGTACTTCAAGTCATGATACAATCGTATGTACTTACATACTATTGTTAACGACTGTAATAATTATTAAAATTTATAGAAAAAGACGCTATGAACAGTGTTTTCCGACATAAGTTCATTAATTTTTAATTTAATCACGGAATCGATTTCAAAGTAACGTATTTCGATAAGCTTACAGTATTAAAAACAAAGCTACCACCAAATCTACTTAAATAACATTAAAAAAAAAAAAATAAAAAAATAAAAAGAACGAAAACAAAGAGATCAACCAACATTTTAACTTCATTGTATACATCGTTACGCACGCAGAATGTTTATTCTAAAAAAAAAAAAAAAAAAAAATTGTTTAAGCCTCGCGGAAGTATCGACAGCGTTCAAATCCCTTTAAACGGCTTTTGCCGTAAATGAGACCTCCACACGTGCGAGCTAAATAGAAAGGCATATACATAAGACCAGCTTACACGCATCCAAAGCTTAAAATAGAGATGGAAAAAAAAAGAAGTAAAAACTTAGTCTCCCGCGAAGTTAAAGTATGAGTCGAAGTCTCCCGCATCCTCTATATTCCTCTTACAGTGCATGTGCGTTGTTAACGTTGTTCAGTTATACCTACTTACAAATGATTTGTTCTAGCGCGTGTGAATCAGGTATAATTTATTCTATTATACGTCTATTTGCAGTACATTGGTGTAATTGTTCATTGTACGGTCTGCGCTATATGTTGGCAATTTATTATTTTATACTTGTGTTGTATTTGTATATATCAGATATATGAATTTAACTTTTCTGTGGTATTGTAATAAATGCAATAATTTTAAGTTCTAGTAAAATTATACATGTGATAAAACACAAAAATATGACTGAATGATGACACAAATGTTACTATAAATATCTACAATAAATTTTCTTAAAAATGAAATAAAAAAGGCATACATTAAACAATACAAATAGTCCGATGTGTGTGTACTTAGTAAAAAAAAATTTTTTTAAAAATTAATTTGCCATTTAACAACTATATACATATGTACATGTATAACTAGTTGACTAAATGCCACACTTTGTTCTCTACGCACTAACTATTACTGAGAAAGCGGAAGGTTTTACAATGCCAATGCATGAATAGTTAATAATACAAGGTAGAATGTATTCATACGTGTATTTTAAGGTACTAATGATGTTAAATAAAAAGTGAAAATTGTATAAAATACGCGCACGCAACTACAACAATATGCAATGCATGCGTCCGTCCACAATCCATACATGACTCGATCCACATGATGCACACACGCATCAGAGTTACAGACCTAGAGATAAGTATGTGCTGGCTCAACACTCTCAACAGAGAAGTGAATGCATCATCAGCAGGAGTCCAACAGTTTTGAAAAACAGCTGATCCCAAATTCGGAGCTCTGCTGACTCTGCTCTCCTCTCTTATATCTCTCTGCATGGTAAAAGGTAAGCGACGCTCACGCAGATGATACTCAAACTATTTATCGTTATAATTTATGCGTTTTTTATTTAAAACAATTTCTTTATTGTACCTTAACGTAGGCAATAGGTGAGCAAGTGTACATCTATCAAACAACTATAATTGTCTGGCAAGACGGCCGCCTTCGTCTTGCACACATGCTGCCGAGTGTCTGCTGTCTCGCCAAAGTAAGTCAACCTTATATTATTATCATAAATAACTATCAGGTATATTACTCATATTATCATCAAGTAACCTATATTACAAGTTATATTTTCAACATTGTGTGTTTTACATGGTAAATGTTTGTATGGTACAATAATATTTGCTAGATATCTGTTGTGGAGTTTAACGATGATGTGACAATCGATTAAGAGACGATTGACGATGTCAAGCGTGGGCGATTCTTTTGGCAATTCAGCAGTATCATTACGCACGTCGCTCGTCCTTCAATTAACTTTACACACGCATTTAAACCAAGTAGATAGATAGAGAGATACCAAGGGACCACCTCTCTCTCTCTCTCTCTCTTCGTTCTCTTTCTTTCTCTCTGATTCTTTGTCCTCCATCTGTCTGTTCTTCTCTCTCCTGTTACATTCTTCATACACCACTGTCATAGTTTTGCTGCTGCTCCGTTTTTATTTGCTCCAAAAAATTTCTTTCCTGTGTTTTTATTTTATAACACATTCCATGCTTGCTCCAAGCTACTCTTGTTTACAAGTGACAAGTGATTTCTCTGTTTAGTTTTTTTTTTTTTTTATCCCAGAAAGCTGAGCTTTATTTTGTTTGATTTTTGAGGAGGTATTGCGTTTGTTTACATGCACTGTAGCCAGTGTTTGTGTATGCTTGTGACCTTATTTTAAAACGAACGTTTGTAGTAATTTGTAACAATATCGTTTGGCAATGTTGTACATTAAAGTGAATGATGTCAAGTTTATATTTGGTAGAAATCGGCTCTCATTAATCCAATTGTTTGTTATTGCAAAATATTTTACCAGTATTGCGTCTGTTGTACATATGTGTGCACAAGTGGAAGTATTTCAAGTGTGAGATAAGAGTTTTGCAATTGCATCTAGATCTTAATGACTGTTATCTTATATTTCATGTGCTAAAGCAGTCTCAATCATTCATGAATCCGTTGCTCTAGTAATTTTTGTTGAATAATTGATTTGACTGGTCAAATTAGGAGCCTAGTCATTAAAAAATACTTTGGTTTATATCTAATGAATTGAATTTTAAATAGGTGCTTAGAAGTCTACAGTTTTGACAGTTGTCAGAAATTGGTGAAAGGCATGAGATGGAGGAAGAGCCCACTGATCCACATGAACAGAAACTTTTTTTTGTGTACAAAAGCTGCCTAGCCAATGGACAAAGTAAGCTGAGCAAGGATGGCCTACTGCATCTCTGCAATAAACTTGAACTGGACCAAAGTCACAAAGAAGCAATATTTGAATTACTCAAGATCGAGGAGAGTCAGAGTTTAGTTCCATTCATCGAATTCCGTGATGCCTTTGTTACCCTACTGGATGAATTTCAAAAGACGCCTATCAATGGTTTGGAAAAGGAAATTAACGGTGAATCAGATATTATTCTTAAAAACGGCACTATGTGTACCAAGTACAATCACCAATTGGAAGAAAAGAAAAAGCCAGAGGCTAAAAATTGCCAACGAATTGAGACAGGTTAAAAATGCTAAAATCTTTTTCATTTTATTTACTATTGCGAGTTAAAGATTGTAATGTGAGTTCTATTTTAGATGCAATCATCAATTATCAACGGTTACCGGAGACGTGGACTAATCAAAATTCCCCTACAGAGAATATAAATTGTTTTTTAAATGGAGATTCAACCCTTTCCAAAAATGTAAGTCAAAATTTGTTCAATCCTTACTCAAGCGCGACGATTTTTATTTGACGCTATTTTTCAGGCCATCCAAATTATCTTTGAAAAGTTAGATACGGATTGCGACGGCTTAATCAATTTAAACGATTTTTTAAATTTTTTTGAGAGTTCTAATAAACTATTGGAACATTTTAACGTGACTTGGTCCAGTCATTTACACAGGGAACAAACAAAGTCAGATAGTTGTAAGGATTTCGAACATAATCAAACCGGGTATGTGAACTATTGGATGATAAATAAATTTGTGCATCAATATTCAAACTCTCGTCTTTCATGCAATAGCTCCACTCCAAGAAGTGCCATTGTAGAACTATGGGAGGTTGCTGGAGTGACAGATGCCAGTTCCTTATTGCTTTCCTTAGGCTTTAACGGCCCTACTGTTAACTTTATTGACTTATCAAATGCCTTATCTTCCGAGCTTAAGCTTCACCGTGAAGTATCTCATGCTGGAAATGTTGGAAATTACGTGCGTCTACTGAAAGGAGCACTCATTCTTTATCAAGAGGAAGTTCGAAATTTGAAGTGAGTAATCAATAAGTAGTATTATACTTCGATTGATCATTTTTATTTCAATTTTCTATTGACTGATGAAACATTATCTGATCTTGCAAAAAAAACAAAAAAAACTTGTAGTTTGTCAATGGAGCACTTGCGCTGTGAGCGCGACAAACTTCGCTTGGACCTCGGCGAGGCGAACGACCGCGCGAATCTATTCGCGCAAGAAATTGACGAGCAACAGGCTCGAATGGACAAATTTCGTGAGAATCAGCTGCGCCAGCTCGAACATCGTCATACCGAGGCACTCAAGAGCCTGAGCGATCTGCAGCAGCTCGAGCGTGAGAAGAGCACGGGTGTACTCAAGACATTGGAGGAACAGCTCCAAGCTTTTCAGCTCGAAGAACTGAGGCTCAAGGCTGAACTTGCTAGTTTGCTGAAGGATCTGAAAGAGTTGGAGAACGAGAATCAGAGCCAGAGTGAAGAGCTGCGGAAGGTCGAGGAGAGCAACGAACAGTTGAGCTTGCAGGTATGCGAGCTTGCTGTTGCGCGTGAACAGGTAAGTTTTTTTGCTTATACAGTCGAGCATTGAGTATTTCTTATTATATTAGTTGTTTTTTTTTGTTTAACTTGTCAGTAAATTTAGTTATTATTTAAAATTATTCAACTGAACGTTTTTGTAAGGCGTCATAAAAGGTTCTGTATAAAAAAAGTGCATACATTTTACATCGCATCTACAGAAAATTTTGATGAAACTTTTTTTTTTACGAGTTTTTCCATCAATAACTTGGCATTTATGATGTAATATATTAATCTTCATATTGAAGTGACTAATAATTTTTCATTAAATATTAAAAAGAACTATCTTAATTTTATAAGTTTTCGAGCAGCAAGTGAGCTCGTTTTAATTTTGAAGCGATAAACCAGTACAGAGCGCGTAGAGAGACGCAATGAAAACGAAATATGAAACTGACTGCAACTCATAGGAGTAACGCCCGGAATAGACGCCGCTACTTGTTCTATTTGGGGTACAGAAAGGGTCATTAAGAGTCGAGTTGTTTTATGTGCGTCTGACTCGTCGTTGATTCGTCCGTATAATGTTCCCGGAAACCATATCTGCAAAAGACCAAAACATGTCTCTGCTGAAAATCCGCGAATTCGTACGTTCCTCAAAACAAAACAAAAAATTAAAAGAAATACCAATTGAAAAAAAAAAAATACGTCACTAGGCTCAGTATGTTAAACTTTATTATTGTACTTTTATTTTTAAAAAACCTTAATCTTTCAGGTAGAGAGTTTCGAAACGAAGGAGAATGAGCAGTTCGCGGAGCTCTCGGATCATATCAGACGTCTCCAGACGGAGATCAAAGTCTTGAGGGATCACAACGACGAGCTGACGTCCGAGCTAGAGACGATCAAGCATCGAGATAACGATGCCAAGAGTGTAGTGTCGAGTGTAGATGTTAGATCCACGATATCGGACGAAAATGACGGTAAGATGTTTTTTTTACACGCTTTTACAAGGCATCCCTTTTTTCAAGTTATAATTTACATTTTAAACCCACTATTCTTGGGAGCTTATAGTTTTCAATGAAAAATTTGATTAGGTGGCTAAAATTTTTGTTTCAATTGACTTAGGACTTACAAGCATGCCTAGCGACACGGAAGACGAGGAAAAGCGATGTTCTGATCATTCCAAAATGAACAAAACTACCAATGACACAGCGACAATAACGACACCGCAGGGTAAGCCATCATTGGAAAACAGCAGTCATAGCAGTGCTGGTAGTATTAATAAGCTCAGCGAGATCATACAGGAGTTCCGTAATTTTCTTACGAGCGCCAAGTTTTGCGCAGAGTGTGCGATATTAAGGACGGAGGTGTCCTCGTTGATCAGCGAATTGGAATTGTATCAGTCAAGTGTACCGCCATCGATAAAATCAACAGCAGCTCAGACTACTAGGAGACGGAAGCACCTAAAGACTCTAGACGTTGAACTGGGTAATACGGCTATCTGTGTGTAAATTCGTTGGCACTGTATTTTTTTCTCTAGCAATGTCTTGTTGAATAATTTATTTGATTGGTCAAATTAGGAGCTAGTCATTAAAAAATACTTTGGTTTATATCTAATGAATTGAATTTTAAATAGGTGCTTAGAAGTCTACAGTTTTGACAGTTGTCAGAAATTGGTGAAAGGCATGAGATGGAGGAAGAGCCCACTGATCCACATGAACAGAAACTTTTTTTTGTGTACAAAAGCTGCCTAGCCAATGGACAAAGTAAGCTGAGCAAGGATGGCCTACTGCATCTCTGCAATAAACTTGAACTGGACCAAAGTCACAAAGAAGCAATATTTGAATTACTCAAGATCGAGGAGAGTCAGAGTTTAGTTCCATTCATCGAATTCCGTGATGCCTTTGTTACCCTACTGGATGAATTTCAAAAGACGCCTATCAATGGTTTGGAAAAGGAAATTAACGGTGAATCAGATATTATTCTTAAAAACGGCACTATGTGTACCAAGTACAATCACCAATTGGAAGAAAAGAAAAAGCCAGAGGCTAAAAATTGCCAACGAATTGAGACAGGTNCGTTGATCAGCGAATTGGAATTGTATCAGTCAAGTGTACCGCCATCGATAAAATCAACAGCAGCTCAGACTACTAGGAGACGGAAGCACCTAAAGACTCTAGACGTTGAACTGGGTAATACGGCTATCTGTGTGTAAATTCGTTGGCACTGTATTTTTTTTTTTTTTTTTTGTAGGATTCAAAATGAACTTTATTATAAAATCTTGAAAATATTTTTAAATCGATTTTCAAAAATTTCATCATTTGAAATCGTATTCTTTATTATGATAAAAACGCTTTTTCATAACGATTTCATGATTTTACGTTTTGTTTAGAAGCTGAAAATAGTGGGCGCAGAAACAAAAGTCTTGGAGCCATCCCTAAAAATAGAAAATTGATGCACAGTAAAAGAATCTCACGTAGCGCTCAAGCGTTAAATGATTTGGAAAAAAGTTTTAATGATTTGGCTTTGGGTGGTGAAAATGAATCGTCGAATTGTAACGATAGGGATGACAACAGCATAGCTGAAGAGATTGAAGAAAAAAGTAAAGATTTGGACCAGGTGCTCGTTGAAAAGTGGCAACTTATTGAAAGGTACAAAAAAGCTAATTATTCACTATAAACATGTATTAAGTTTATTTTGAGTTATTAAGTCAAATGGTTTAAAATATTGAAAAAATTTAAATTAAATCTTGAGAACTGCGTAATATTTAATTGATCAACAATCGTAACAGGTGTGCTGACCTAGAAAAAAGTCTGGAATTATTGAGAAATGAATACGAAGAGTGTGAAGATTACTGGGAGAGCAAACTTGAGGAGGAACGTCAACTTTTCGAGCAGGAGCAAAAAATAAGCGATGAAAAATTTGCCGAACTCCTGGTTAAAATGGGCGAGTACGAGGAACTGTTCTCAACTGAAAACAAACGAGACGGCCGTCTATCGCCAATAGAAGAGCGAGCGATGCTCGAGCAGCAATATACAGCACTTGAAGAAGAGTACGAGCGATGGAAACTTGACGCTCAAGAAGAACTAAATAGAAAAGAAGAGGAAATCGATGAATTGAAAATTAAATTAGCAAATGGTAAAAGACGACGTGAATCTTTGAAAGACAACGCTGTACAATTTCCCGATGAGCAGATGAAGATCGCATTTCCGGCTCTCTACAACAATCTTTGCTCATTACCCAGTGGATCTATGGACAACAGCGGAGTGGATAAGGTCGACGCTACGGTGCCTATTGATCAAAAATTCGAGCCCCCATCACCGTGTTCCAAGGTATGTACTTAAAAAAACTACTTCACCTTATTAATTCAAATGTGCTGAAATTTATTGTTATATTTCTCAGTGCCACAAAACAGCACATTGTAATTGCAACTGTGGTGCGATTAACCAGCAACAATTACCAGAACAATCGGCAAGAGATCAGAAATCGCGAAGGGGTGAGGGCAGGAATCGTCATCACCACCATCACCATCAGAAAAGGCCGAATATGGATTACGAGCTAATGAATCTTATAAAACAAAAGGAGAAACTTAAGCAGGAAATAATGAGACTGCAAAGTTATAAAACTATGAGTACTAATTACAATTATTCTTTCACTAATCCTGCCGAACAAAGCGTCGTAACAAATTTGTATGCAAAGTTGTTTGCTCAAGAGCAAAAGCATAAGTATTTACAGTATTGCCTTACTACTCAGCAAAAAGAAAGCGAACGAGTGATCCAAGGTATGTATAATTTTTATATAACAAACCATTTCTACATTTATATTGAATTATCAGATATTTTTATTTGTCATAATTTTACGATTTTCAGGGATGTGGAAGCAACACATCATGGAAACACAAGATTTACGTTTTGCCATAAAACATATTGAAGATAAGCTTAAGCATCAGATAAAAATTATTAGGGATCAGGTATAGTAGAGACTTATTAAATAATAGAATTATGTAAAATGAAAATTATAAAATTAATTTCTATTTCAGAACAATAAATTGATCAAAGCAGATATCCAGACGAAGGAATTGTATGTGGAAAATGCGAAATTGACTGATACGATTAAGCGATTAGAGCAGCACTGCCAGATTCTAACGCAAAGTCGCATTGAGTCAACGACAGAAACCTGATCAAGGAAAATCAAATAATTATAATACATACAATATTGTGAATTAGTTGGTGAGAAATAGATCTTAGGGATCAGATCGAATTAGAGGTAATTGAAAAATCGAAAAATATTTATTAAACAGATACGTATGATTTATTTAAAGGTTCGCGTTAAAAAAATGAACTTATAGAATCATAAAAAAAAAAAATTAAATTCCAATATCCACGATAATTCCTTTGAAAAGTTTGATTCCAGCAATACTTAAATATTGTAATATTTATTGGTAAGATGAATAATTTATAAAAATACAGAATCCATATGTTCGTTTATTAACGAACATCAGTTGCCTTAATAGTTTAATTTATCATAAATACGTACATATATTTGTATATAGAAATGAACATTTTAAAAAGATTATTTCAAGAGCTAATAATGAATTATTGCATAAAAGAAATAAATCACAGCTTTATATACGTTTATGCAAAGTATAGTAAGTAATATATCGCAATATGTTACAGATTTGAAAATTAATTTTTTTTAAATTTGTATAAAATATATTACGAATAATGCTTATTTGAGCACAACAAATAAATGGCTGACAAAACGGTATAATGTATAAATAATACGATTCTACAAGAATCTGCTAAAAATTAGCGATTCCTAAGTCATAATATAAGGCGTATAAATTATTATTATTATTATTGTTATTGTTGAAATTGTATTTAGCCATTTTAAAAGAGCTCTATCAATACGAACACCATGAATGAATTTAAGCCTCAAAAATTGATTTGGAGCTTTAATTTTTTTGGAATCAATCGCATTTGAAATTTAATTTATTCCATAAAGCTCGAAATATGCAACAATGAAATTCACTTTTAAAAATAAGTAGCACGGCACGAGCGTATAACTAGCTGTGATATGTACGATAAACGCGTGCTTTATCAAACTTGCGAGCAAATTACATTTTTTTAGCGAGTCTAACTGAAAACTGTCATTTAGCGTGTATGCAAATAAAAAGCGAGAAAAATGGAACGATGATATTAACTACGATCAATTTTAGTATTACTTTCAGGATAATATCTTTAAGCATTACAAAAAAGAAAACCTGAGCTTTGATTGTACCTAATGTGCGTGTGTGTTTTTTTAGTTTAGTTAAGAGTATGTTAAGATGCAATAGAGTAATGTGAAACGGGTATATATTTGTAATTGAATAAAATGAAGAGAACCGGTACAGAAAGAACAAACGTGAAGAGTTATCATGTAACATGTATTTAACGTTTTTCATATGAGATAAAAGAAACAAATATTTATTGTAAACGATTGTTGTAAAAATGAAACGAGATTAAAGTTAGTACACGAGTTGCAGAATAAGTCAAAACAAAATAATAAAAAGTTAATGTTTACTAAATACTTGTCTTATTGTTTCGTCTGTTTATCTAAATTAAAAAATTTTACACATAGGTACCTTTATACACAAATATCTTTTTTTGTTTGTTTTTTTATTTAGCAAATGCAAAAAGGAAATAGTTGCTTATTTGGAACGTTCCGGGTATGCTCGTCAAGTCGTCACTGTTATCACTACACCATTCGGAACGTATATATGCACTGCATGTCTCTCACCGAGCCACACACCAACTTTTAATTCGGAACGTTCCCAAAATTGCATACTTGCCAGGCAAGTCTTGCCTGTCTGCGTTTAGTAAGTAAGTATACTAACGATTAGTAACTACTAGAATGTGTATACCTCGTTAGTGGATTCGACGTACCTATAAGTATATTATAAGCGATGACAAGCGTCAAGCGGCGTCTCTGAATTTGCAGCAAAAGTAACGAAAATGTGTTAGACCTGTGCTGTGACTATCATGTTCTATCACACTTAATTAAATGGCAGGGTATATTGTCAATAAGTTTTTGATATTAATTTGTTTGAAAAGCCAGACTAGTATGTAATAGAGCATTGTTATGGCACAGTCGTCGTCTGTTAGTGGCACTTCGTCTCGGAGACATCTCAGGGACCATGGTGTCAGTTCACCAGGTTCACCCCGTTATGCAGATGCCGATTGGGAAAGCAGGGAGGTTAGTAGTGTGCTTCTAAAAAATAATTATTTCCGATCGTTTTTACACTTTTACTCTATATTACAATGTCAAATGTTATCCAGTTTCATGGTTTTTTTTTTTTTTTTAACAAAAAAAATTTGGTTCTGCAAATACAGGCGATGCTTCACAGAGAACTGGAAGAAGTCAAAGCTCGAGCAGCTCAGATGGAGAAAACTATGAGATGGTGGTCAGATTGTACAGCTAATTGGAGAGAAAAGTGGTGTGAGGTTCGGGATGAAAGGAACAAAATTAAAAAAGAGGCCAAATCGTTGAAAAGTAAACTGGAAAGTGCCTCACAGGATTTAAATGCATACAAACAAGAGTCTAAGGAATTGCAAATACAGAACGATCAGCTTAAAAAGAAAATGGAAAAAATTCACATAGTTTTGTTAAAGCATGCAGGACAGTCTGACCAGCAGTTGCTTGCTGTTTTCGATTCTGATCCACAGTTAAAAAAAGCATTAGATGTGGAAGATCTGCTTGAAGTTTACAATAGCATAGAAAAAACTGGAAAACTCACACCTACTCTGTCAAAACAAGAATCCGATTGTTGCAAAAGTTCTCCCAAAAGTAATTCAGATAAGGAATTGGAAGATTATGTTTCACAGGGCGCAGTACCAAAGCATGCTGTTGAATCTCACTCTTCACCGACCATTCAAGAAAAAAGACAATCTAGAATAGATAATACTAATGAAGAGGCTCTTATGCAAAAAATGTCGATGCTCAATTTAAGACTGGAAGAGGCTACTAAGACATTGAGTGTTGAAAGGGAGTAAGTTCAACCTTTATGATCCTATAAGAAAGTATTCAAAAATTGTTGAAAATTTTTTACTGTCTCTTGATCTTTTTTAGAGAAAAATCTTCGCTGTACCAAGGCATGGAAAAATTAAGGAACGAAATAATTTTGTTAAAAGAAAAGTGTGAAGAATTACAAGACAGTAGAACTGAGGCTTTAAAAGAATTATTGGAATTGAAAGGTCGTTTTCAAGGAGAATTAAGTGCTGCACAAGCTGATCTCATTGATGAAACTACAACTCGCGAGGGTATGGACCGGCGGTTATCCGAACTTCGAAATGAGGTAAATGTTACCTGTCTCCTACAATAGTATCTTTTTTCTTTCTGGTTTTTTAACTATCTATTTAACAAATAAAGTTGGAGAAATTACAAGCTGAAAATGCAGCTGAGTGGGGAAAACGTGAACGTCTCGAGACAGAAAAGATTTCCCTGGAGCGAGAAAATAAACGTTTACGCAACGAATTACATGACGCGCAAGATCGCATTGACTCGCGCAAAAGTCGGCCAGTATCTACTTGTGATACAATCGATTCTACAAAACAACTCCAGCAAGAGTTACTTGAGCGTAATAAGGAGTTGAGTGATTTAAAACACTCGCATGCCAAGCTGAAGAAGATGTTGGCAGAGAAAACGACGGAATTGTCCCATGCGACTCGGCGCTCCGAGCAATACGAGGCTGAAGTGAAGAGGATACGTACAAGGGTCGAAGAATTAAAAAAGGAACTCGCACTTTCACAAGATGAGGTTGATGCGGCTAATAACAGTATCAGGAGGCTACAGAGAGCCAATGAAGATCTCACAGAACAACTAGAATCTACGAATGCTCAGTTAGAGCATTTTAGAAATAGGTATGCAGCTCTACACGTAGGATGTACGAAGTTTTGGGTGATTTATTGTTTTTAATATATATATATACTTTTTTACAGTATACCGGAAAGTCGAGCACCAGATGTTGTTATGGATGTTTCAATGGATGATAAAATGAGTAATGACGATGAAGACAATGGTAAGAATTGTTGAATGATATTCTTCTAAAAGAGTTTAAATCGTTTAGTTTAAGAACTCTTTTTTTATAAACAACATCAGTAACGTATTTTTTCAAAAATCATGAAAAATAATATGCCCAGTACCTGCACGTATTATAGGACAAATTATATATTTGAACTTATGCAGTATTGAAAGATCAAAAAAGTATACAGGAGGTTACGAACTGTATTAAAAAAAATTAATTTTTACTAGCGACAAACGTACGTATTTTTAATGTACGTTATTTTAGTAACGAGTCACCATTTTTGATTTTTGAGTCTGTACAATGCTGCGATATTTATTTGTATAACTCTAACTCGCTGCTGATTTTTTAGATTTTACAGTATGTGATATTTATTTATNCACATACGTCCCACCACTAACCTGCGTACCTGGTACTCCGGGATAAGTCATCGTTCCAGGTATTCTTCCACCCATAACAGTACCAGGAAGTGTTTCAGGTGAAACAGTTCCAGTACCTCCTACTATTTACGGCTTATATATAAAAATCTGGTATTGGTACAATCCTCCTGGATATTGCCCAGTGCCTGGGTAAGTACCAGTCACCCCGCCGGGATAAACATTGATTTGCTTTTTTAATTGTATGATTGTTAACTTTGTCGATTTTTAAGAGATTATTTTATAAATAATCAAGAGCTTGTATATACATGTTGATACGTAATCCAGTGCATTTATGAGGAATTTAAAAGACTCTGACATACAAAACAGCTTAGATAAATGAAAAGGACTAATTATATCAATTATTTTCAACTTTTATCTTCAATTGTTCATAACTAATGATGGTAATACACTTTAATATCTAATAATAAAATGGAATAACATCAATTTTTAAAGTATCTTGATTAATAAAAAGAAAAAAAAAGTAATTTTTCGTGATGTGAAAAAAGTGACCCATGTGTGTTCCCTGTCCTAAAGTTAAAAAAAATTATTTGTTCCCCAATTACAAGTACTTATTTAAAATGCATCGAGAACATTTAATAAATTTCCTTTATTTAAAAATAATTGTACAAAAGCTTCATTGGTATAAATACTAGAGAATGAAGCGCTCAACTATAAGTTGTGTTGTCTCACGTGGTTACGTATTAATTTGAAAGCTTAAAAACAGTCTGTAATTTAATACATTGTTTAATCAGTCCTTCAGAATATGGCAGTGTTCTGGATACAACAATAGTAATAATATTGATAATCGTAACGCAATATCTATCCTTTGTAAAATAAAACTAGATATTTAAAAATACATGATCGAGTGCTTTAAATAAAAAAGCTCCATCTCTATATTTTAATAAAATACAATAAGCGTTTCGTCGAAACTGACACAGTAGACGTGTCTCCTACGCAAGCCAGATCATTTGAAAGCCTTCTACGAATACACTACTTATAAGACTTATGGATAAAACATAAAATAAAAATCATTTCTACAAGTAAACTACAATATAATATACGCTCGTGTGCTTGACTGATGTATATATGTAGCAAGTATGTAGGTACTCAGCACTTGGGCGTGCCGTCAGCATTGGTTGGCATCTTGGGCTTGCAGATCTTCCGCCTGCCGTTCGAGCCGTACACAACGTTGCACGAGAAAGTAAAGTATCCACAGGTCGAGCTTTTGGTGTAGTAACGATGCTCGTACTTCTTGACCTCGCTCTTGTCGTCCATCTTGCCAGCGACGCTGTTCGACACCGACACGTAGCTCGTCTTGGGCGTCGTCTCCTGAGCATCCGTGAAAGCCTTCATCCCACCGTAGTAAATACCACCGACCCGGTCGGTGGGTCGTGTTGTTAAAGATCTCGTGTCCGAGACGGCAGGCTTGCCGGTGGTCCGGTTTACCGGGACTAACGACACCGTCTGGCTCTGAGCACGACCGTCACCCTGAGCAATCGTTCTTCGTCCAGCCACAGACGCTATCTTCCCGCGATGGCCCGAATCTCGATGGGCAACGTATCCCGGAAGTGAGTGTCCATTCGCTTCCTCTGTCGTAGATTCCTCGTGTTTCACGCTCACATCGTACTCACCGTCGGTAACGACGCGCATCGTCTGTTTGGTCGTCTGGGGTGCCACCGACGTGGTCGCTTTCCTGTTCGCCTCCGCGGTATACTCCTCGTCCTCGTACTCCTCGTACTCGTCCTCGTTCTCGTAAGGCTGCGGCGGTGCTTCTGCCTTGTAGTTCTTCTTGTCAACCTGGCCATTCCTCGACGTTATGGCTATGACCGTTTGCCTCGAGCTCGAGCCCTGAAGCTGCTCCTTGGGCACAATCTCCGTAGTCGTCTCGACTTTTTCCTCCTTCTTGTTGTTATTGTTGTCGAACTTGAACGGTTTGAAGAGGCTCGAGTCGTTGTTGGTGAAATTGAAGGGTTTTCTCAGAGCTGCCGCGCCGGAACCGGAGCCCGCCTGAGCTGCGCCCGAGTAGGTGATGCCGTAGTGGAACGAGCCCTGCAGCTGCGACTGAGACTGACCCCGGAAGGTGCCGCTCTGAGCCGAAGCCGTGCCACCACCGCGGAAGGGCTTCTCGAGCCTCTCGACCTTCTCGTTGCGGTTGACGTACGGTTGAAAGCCAATTTGGGCTTGACTCGAGGTTTGACCTTCGCCGTTCGCCTGGGCGTCTGCCATTCCACCCTTGCCGCTGGCCTGGACTTGCGAGTTTGTCCCGTGGTTCCATCCGCTGCTCTGAGCGTTCGTTGACGTAGCCCCGGTGTCCGAGTCGAGCTCGACCTGGGTCTGACTTTTGCCGAGGCCACCGCTTCCTTGAGAGCTACTTTTAGCACCCTCCTTGCCACCGCTTACCTGAACTCAGAGTATAATCATATTGGTTGAGCTATTGGCACATTTAACGGGGGCTCATGAACATCCAAACAAACTTGTACTTTTTATTGAAGTCTAAAAAAAACTAATCATAAATATTTCTCAGCATAGCTTTTCGATTGTTCAAAGTTACAAAGTTTGTTTGAACGTTTTTCATTTATTATAGTAGACATACTATACAGCATACACATTATAAATTATAAAACGGTAGGAGTTTTCATTGGCTGACCTGAGTTTGTGCACTTTTTGTTGCATCGCTTGTTCCCGCCTGAGCGGAAAATGAACCCGAGCCGGTGTAAGTACCGCTTACTTGGGACTTGGCACTTCCCTGGCCATGTTTGCCCTCGGCCGTAGCGCTGGCTTGCGTTCCTGCTTCACTCTGCTTCACCGAACTGATTGCTTGCGAATCGGAGCCGTCGTCCCCTCCGATCACAACTCCGCCCTGTTGCTGGCCTCCTATAACTTGACCACCAGGTCCAACTACTACCCCACCTTGTCCAGGAATACCTATGGTAGTAGTACCTGTTGGAACCAATCCTCCTGGATATTGCCCAGTGCCTGGGTAAGTACCAGTCACCCCGCCGGGATAAACATATGTCCCACCTGTTTATAATTGACGCGAAAAATATAGTGCGTGTCCAATGTTAGGTGAGTATTTGGATAGTCAATAAATCATTACATAGGTGTTGTAGTACCTGGCACTGTAGTTGTAGGTAAACTGCTACCTGGTGTACCAGCTTGTACTTGTCCACCGTCTTGACCGTTCGGGTAAACCACTGTTCCCGGTATATCGCCTCTTGCAATTGGTTTTTGTTGCCCTTCTATTTTACCACCAGGTGTTCCATCTTTAGATGTTTAAACATTAAATTATGACCAACAACTGGGTTACCATAAAAATATATTTTTTAAATTTACTTAATGTTGTGCTTCCTGGAATACTTGGGATTCCCCCTCCTCCGCCGTACGTTCCACCGGATACTTGAGGATACACAGCACCGTTGGATGGTTGAACGTTTCTACCTCCTGTTAGTTGTGTGCCTGGAGGAAGATACACGCCACTTCCTGGTACTTGAACACCTCCTACTGTTGGCGACCCTGGAGTATACGTACCACCGGATACTTGCGATCCTGGAATCATACTCGGAATCATACCAGGGGGATACATTGTTCCTGTAGGTACTTGACCTCCACCTGGTACTTGGATATTTGGAGCACCCGGCGATTGCTGAGGATACCTGACACCTCCGGGTATTTGACCTGGCACTGTACCCCCTGTTACCTGGGCACCCGGAGGGTACACACCACCCATTGTTGTTGGCATTCCCTGAGAATTTACTACTTCTCCTGCTACTGTCCCTGGTTGCCCTCCAAGTACTTGCATTCCTAAAATACTCTTGCTTTAATTAAATTTTTTCCTAGTGATTCAATGTTCTTTGAATAAGTTTGTTTACTTGAATTTTTAGTACCTGGCATCACTCCTGTTCCTCCTCCTGTCACTCCAGGTGCTGTGCCACCAGGATACATAATAGTTCCACCACTTGCTCCTGGAGTACCAATTTGTGGAGTATACGTTCCACCAATAACTTGCGTACCTGGTGCTCCGGGATAAGTCATTGTTCCAGGTATGCTTCCACCCATAACAGTACCAGGAAGTGTTCCAGGTGGAATAGTTCCAATACCTCCTATTATTTACGAATTTTTTTTTTTTTTATCTCAAATAATCCGAGTTACAATATTCAGGTGCTTCAAACATTTGTACTATCGAGAAACTTGCGAAAGAAGGCTTTTGTTGGAAAAATATCCTAATACACTTTTATGGGTACCTGGTACAACTCCTGTTCCTTGACGGTACACACCTCCTCCTCCCATTGTTTGCGCACCTGGTTGATACACTCCTCTATTTATTGTTGGCCCTGATATTCCAGGTTGTCCTCCAAGTACTTGGGTTCCTAAAACGCTCTTGCTTCATTAATATTCCTCCCAGTCGTTAAAGATTTTTCAATTAGTTCTTTTATACTATTGCTACCTGGAATTGTTCCTGTTCCTCCTCCTGTCACTCCAGGTGATGTGCCACCGGGGTACATGATAGTTCCACCACTTGTTCCTGGAGTACCAATTTGTGGAGTATACGTTCCACCAGTTACTTGTGTACCTGGATAAGTCAGTGTTCCAGGTATACCTCCAATGCCACCTATTTTTTAACTATTTTTAATTGTTTTCGTCATTTGTGCAAGTGATCATAAGTGTCACTTAGGACGTGTTAAATGTTTATATTAGCAGCCATATAAATTTAGTAAGACTATATGCGATTTACAAGAAAAAAAAATATATTGTAGATACCTGTTGCAGCACCTGTCCCTGGAGGGTATGTACCTCCTCCTCCTCCCGTTACTTGCATACCTGGTTTATATACACTTCTACCAGGTATTTGCCCTGATATTCCCGGTTGTCCTCCAAATACTTGCGCACCTAGAACAATATACGGTCATTTCAGCCCATTGAGTGATTTTTAAATAACGTAACTCTATTATACCCTTGGTACCTGGTAACGCTCCTCCTCCTCCTTCTGTCACTCCAGGTGCTGTGCCACCGGGATACATGATAGTTCCACCACTTGTTCCTGGAGTACCAATTTGTGGAGTATACGTTTCACCAATAACTTGCGTACCTGGTGCTCCGGGATAAGTCATTGTACCAGGTGTACTTCCACCCGTAACAGTACCAGAAAGCGTTCCTCTTGGAAGAGTTCCGATACCACCTATTATTTATTATTTCAAGGTTTGTATATAATTTTACTAAAAGTTAATTTTTTGCAAATTTTCAAGTGTTGCCGTTCTGTAGTGTTTTTAAAAACGGTATAAATAATTGTATGAACAGGTATACACTTTAAAAATAATGCATTTTATGGAAAAGCGACCCCAAAAATTTGTTGGAGTACCTGGTGCAGCTCCTGTCCCTTGAGTGTATATGCCCTCTCCTCCCATTACTTGCGTACCTGGTTGGTACACTCCTCTACCTGACGTTGGCCCTAATATTCCTGGTTGACCTCCAAAAACTTGTACTCCTAAAACACTCTCACATTATTAAAATCTGACCCTCTCTCGGTCGTTGATTTTCCAATTAGTTCCTTTACACTATTGCTACCTGGAATTGTTCCTGTTCCTCCTCCTGTCAATCCAGGTGCTGTGCCACCAGGATACATGATAGTTCCACCACTTGTACCAGGAGTACCAATTTGTGGCACATACGTCCCACCACTAACCTGCGTACCTAGTGCTCCGGGATAAGTCGTTGTACCAGGTGTACCTCCACCCATAACGGTACCAGGAAGTGTTCCAGGAGAAATAGTTCCAGTACCTCCTATTATTTACGACTTACATATAATAATCTGGTATTGGTACTTAAACGTTTGTACTAGTGCGTCCCTGAAGAAAGACGGCTTTTATTAAAAAAATATCCTAATAAAATTTTTTACCTACCTGGCACAGTTCCTGTCCCTAAAGGGTATACACCCCCTCCTCCTCCCGTTACTTGCGTACCTGGTTGATACACTCCCCTGTTTGATGTTGGCCCTAATATACCTTGTTGTCCTCCAAGTACTTGTGTTCCTAAAACGCTCTTGCTTTATTAATATTTTTTCCAACTATAGATGATTTTCCAATTAGTTACCTGGAATTGTTCCTGTTCCTCCTCCTATCAATCCAGGTGCTGTGCCACCAGGATACATGATAGTTCCACCACTTGTACCAGGAGTACCAATTTGTGGCACATACGTCCCACCACTAACCTGCGTACCTAGTGCTCCGGGATAAGTCGTTGTACCAGGTGTACCTCCACCCATAACGGTACCAGGAAGTGTTCCAGGAGAAATAGTTCCAGTACCTCCTATTATTTACGACTTACATATAATAATCTGGTATTGGTACTTAAACGTTTGTACTAGTGCGTCCCTGAAGAAAGACGGCTTTTATTAAAAAAATATCCTAATAAAATTTTTTACCTACCTGGCACAGTTCCTGTCCCTGAAGGGTATACACCCCCTCCTCCTCCCGTTACTTGCGTACCTGGTTGATACACTCCCCTGTTTGATGTTGGCCCTAATATACCTTGTTGTCCTCCAAGTACTTGTGTTCCTAAAACGCTCTTGCTTTATTAATATTCTTTCCAACTATTGATGATTTTCCAACTAGTTACCTGGTATTGTCCCCGTTCCTCCTACTGTCACTCCAGGCGCTGTGCTACCAGGATACATGATAGTTCCATCGCTGGTTCCTGGATTACCAATTTGCGGAGTGTAGGTTCCACCAGTAACTTGCGTACCTGGTGCACCTGGATATGTCAGTGTTCCGGGTATACCCCCAGTAGTAACACTACCAGGAATTCTTCCATTGGGGAGTGATCCGGTACCACCTATTTTTGTCGTATTATTTATAGACGTTAACAATATTACTTGCATAATTTATTCAGTAATAGTATCGCCTCAAGTCCTTTTAACATAATATGTTGAGTGATTGCATCAATAGGCGTGTAGTGTAATGAAGAGTACATTTAGTAGAAATGAAAAAAAAATTCTTGTAAATACGTGTTACAGTACCTGTCCCTGGAGGGTATAAACCTCCTCCTTCTCCCGTTATTTGTGTACCTGGTTGATATACACCTCTACCAGGTATTTGCCCTGATATTCCCGGTTGTCCTCCAAGTACTTGCACACCTAGAACAAGACACGTTCATTTCGGGCTATGGAGTTGATTTTTAAATAAGTTAATTCTTATATACCGTTGGTACCTGGTAACGCTCCTCCTCCTCCTTCTGTCACTCCAGGTGCTGTACCACCGGGATACATGATAGTTCCACCACTTGTTCCTGGAGTACCAATTTGTGGTACATATGTTCCACCAATTGTCTGGGTACCTGGTACACTTGGATAAGTCGCTGTACCAGATCCAACTCCCGGAGAAACAGTACCAGGAAGTGTTCCGATTGGGATGGTTCCAACACCACCTATATTTTACTCGTTTTCACTTTTTTTTTTTTTTTTATTTATTTATTTTTTTTTTTTTATTACGATTCATACAAATTAATAGTTATATTTTTTGCATTTGTCGAGCATTGCCGTGCATTTGTGCTGCTTAAGATGCGTAAAATGTTTGTATGAGTAGGCATGTAGCTTGAAGTAGGTGCATTTGGTGGGGAGCAAAAAGAAAACCAAACAGTTTATGTGGTAAAAATTTTATTTTACTTCTATATCATGATTTTCATTCCTTTTGCATCAAGGCTCAAGACGTATAACTGCAATTATATAAATACGGTGATATTAGTAACGTGCATCGTTGCATATTTCATATTTAATTATCATCCATCCAGACAACGTAGCTATCATGACATTCACGTCATCATTACGTAATATTATATGTCAGGCATAAATTAATTTGTGTGACTAATAATAGGTATTCGTGACTCAATTGTTACGCTACTGTTTGTCTAAATTGTTCTACCTATCCTATCGTATCCTGGACATCCTTCGCAACCGTCCGCCCCGGATGACATACTTTGAGCTTGACCCATTCCACTGCTCCCACCTAAAAACACAAAATAAAAAAATCAAATTCCACTCGAATTCTCAGCTTTGGTAAAATTTATCCATGTTATTTGGACAAAAGAGTACACTATTCGTTTTTCATCAACATTTTTTATCTTTAAAAAAAAAAAAAACACAGAACCACTTACTGACTACTGCGCGTGAAGACTGCTGAGTGGCCTCGGCCTCGGCTTTGCCTTCCCTTTGGTTGTTATCGCTACCGCCAACGTTGAGGTACTGCGACTGCGTTTGTCCGCGAAATTTTCCACGGTAAGGTGCAGCGTCTCGCTTTTTGCGCGACGATACCCGCTCTTTTCTGAAACCTCGTCCACCAACTGCCGCGTCCAGGTCCGTTGGCAAAACATTGGCTCTGCGTTTGTGCACCGCAACATCTTTCGGCAGCTCGTTGCGCGATGGATGCAAGGGATGACGAGGTTCGGACTCCTGGAGCAGGATCATCGTCATGCCGTGGCAGAAATCGACCACTCGATCTCCTGCCAAACGCCACGCCTGAGCATATTTGTTGAAACCCTCTTTAGTTTAGCCGAGAAATATATAGCAAAAAATGAGTCCACTTTGGGTGAAGGTAAGGCGCACTTGCCTCAAATTTGGTGATCAGGCGGGGATCGGAGGCGTGGATGGTTCTTTTATTGTCGCGGATCACGTCCCTCCATCTGTTAACGTCGGCTAAGTCGTTTTTCAGCTTTTCCAGGTAACACACGCTCTGCCCCGCATCTTTGAAGGCCGAATAGTGCTGTGGATTTTGTTGGGTTGTAAATTGAATTTTTGTTTGTTTTTATTTTTTTCGTGAACATGCCAAAGAGTGTACAAGTACCGTTGCAGAATCCGTAAAAATTCTAGGCTTGTCGTCGATTGTTATGTGATAAGCTTCCGCCTCGTGGTCCCACGTATCATCGACCGAACGGTCAAAACGTGTTTTTTCCTGAAAAAAAAAAAAAAAAAAAAAAAACAAATAAAAGATTCCTCTTACATTTATTTAGGACATTACTTTGAAAGAAAGATATAGGGCTGGTTTGTTATATTTTTACAGTCAAGAGTTTGTTATCCCCAATACTTATATGCGCATAAACTCGAGTGTTTAGTTTTAAAACACTTGGATTTATTATTACAACAATGCGAGTGGTTGTGATTCCGGTGATGATATAATTGATTAATCCCTTTCTCGCTGCCTTAAACATTCAATTGTTTTATTGCAGTGGACGAAACCCATAAGTTTTTACAAAAAAAAAAAAAAAAACGCTTCAGTTTTTTCAGAGCCAATTGGAAACGGATTCAATGGAACAAAAAAAAAAAAATTTTTTTGTTGGTCGTTACATGCTCATTACGATATATCAAGTGTGAGCTGTCCATTAATAACAGAATCGAATCCCTTGCAGTAGGCGCACAAAAAAGCTCGTCCATCACACTCGCCCTCAAACGAAAGTACTTGCATCTCTTTATTTCATATATACGATGGACTCTCCTATATACAGTATACCATACATTTCGTATCAATTTTATGTGAAACATCAATTTATTATTATTTTAGTTTTGTACATATATTACGTAGGTTGATTGAAATTGATTTGGTAAAAATTATTGCGCTATCTCAACTCTGTCGCGGTGATGCAAGACACTTGCCTCTTTTTTTCCTCTTTTTTCCTCTCCGGTCTACTGGTGAAGCGATAACTCGACGTGCAGTGAATTTCAGCGCGTCAGCAAGAAATCAAATCCCCGGTTCTCACTGTCTTTGCTCCGCTTGGGAAAAAAATTGTAATATTTCCTCACCGAATCCACACGAAGGATGATCGGAAAGCTCGAACGTGCGATCGCGTTATACAAACTAACGAGATCGGCACTTATCTTCATCGCACGGAAACATTCATCGCGAGAGCCGATTTTCGAGTATCCGGGTAGCCATGGTGTACAGAAATATAAATACTTTGGATTTATAAATAGATGTTTCAAAGAAACCCACAGGAAAACGAAACTTTCTAAATGGAAAAAAAGAAAAAAAAAACAAAAAAAAAAAAAAAAAGAGGAAAATTACTCACTTGGTAGCCGCGAGCGGAGATCGGCTCAACGAGACCCAAGTAGCAGCACCAGCAGGCGGCGATAATCTCGGCGAGACGCATGTCGAAGCTTCGGAATCACTTGATATTACAAACCGCGACCTCCTCCTATACCATATACCACTGCGGCTTATTCCCCCTATATCCGTGGGTATACAATACAGTTTCACTCGAAACACTTATACACGTTGTGCAATATATAACAATAATACCTCGAAACAGCGTATATTTGTTACCCAACGCACGCGAGTCAGCGCGCCGCTTGTACGTTTGTCGGATGGCCACGAGTGCGGCTCTTATTTATAGAGAGCTCGCCTCGACACCCATGGCTCGTTGGATCGGGCGAGGAGGAGGAGGAGGGGAGCTATGGAAAAGCTCCGGACAATGGGCAGCTTTCATCCCGACCTTGAGCGATTTGCGCTGGGCCGTAAAGGCCGATTGCACCAATCGTATTTTATACCCATGTCTCTTTCGCGTTCTTTGCCTCAATAGAATATTCCGATTAAGGGCTTTTTCTTTTCGTTTTTCAGGACCACGTGGGACTTTGAAATCCCATGCATTCGCCGATCAATCGTTCCAAAATTCGTTACTTTCGTATCGTTCGACCAGTTGTTTTAATCGGTTGGTCAAGTTAATACAAAACGACGGTACAACATTTCGGGAGCAAATTCTGAGATAGCGTTCATTTTCTCTTCTTCAAACCTAATGTTGCTTTTTCCACGAAAACTACAAAGTAACCACATCTTAATCAAAAACCGGGGCGTCGATTTTACATACCATACAAATGTTCATTCCATATGATATTCCACGTCATCCCACAACGCGGTCGGGCACACATCCAAAGTCCAGATCTTCGAGTCTCATGCGCACTTGTCCCCGTTTGCCGAGCCCATGCAATGCCCGCGACATGTCTATAAAATATTTATATACACACAAGAGACGACAATGAGTCATTACCGAGGTATATACCGATAGATCCGCTCCAGAATCGATGTCAGTACACTTATGAGTGTACATATATATATATATATGAGCATGGGTGTATTGCAGCCCACCCGCGCCCAAAAGCCAGGTCATCTCAAGCGAGGCTTATCGGACCCAAGGCTCGCTCCTCCTTCTCTGTAAGACTCGCTATACCCTCTCAAGTGCCCGCAGCAGGCCCGTCCTACGTATCATGTACATTATGTTATCCCACTCGCGTTCGTATATGCACTTAGAACTGCTCTAAATCATTTCCCGATCGCAAATATATACGTATATATACCTGCACGTATGCCGATATAATATTACAAACAAGAGCACACACGCCGCTGCTCGCGATAAAAGCTCGGTTGCGTCAGAGAAAGCGCGCTGTGCAATGCTTCTTTTTTTTTTCCCCCCCGTGGCCTAAGCTCACAACGATAGCTTTCATGTCGATTGGCGCACTTGCGAGGGCATTTTTTTTTTTTTTATATATGTGTTATATATGTTATGGTCTATACGTATACATATATATAGTCGCGTCAAGTGAGCGATTTTTATGCGAGGCGTGGGCGACGAATCACTTAAAGAGCGCTTGCTCCTTTGTTTTTTTTTTTTTTTTTTTTTTAAGCTTGGTTTTTCGTTAAATTAAGATCGGTTTGTGTTTACGTAGTTTTTTCATCCAATCTATGTACAAAAAGTATTTCATTAACGGTTTTTTGTACCTATTCTCGTTTATACGCGTTTTGTAGTAACGTTTGGCTCAAATCGTATACCCATACTCTTACGGGAATAAGATGATTGTTTGGTTTTCATGCTCGATTCGGTATGAGATCTGGAAATTAACCAGTGGCATCACGAAAGTACACACATGTTCTGTTTATAGAGGCCCCACAAACGGAACGAGGATCCGTATAGGGTCCAAAAGAATTTTAGAGAAATGGGAAGTGTTGGTTTTTTTTTTTTTTTTTTTTTTTTTTTTTATCAGTGATAAAAGTGCAGGATAAACGGAGAATAAATGAATGAAAAGACACTCAATCGTATTCGTAACTTTTTTTTGTTCAACAATAATTTTCGTCATTGACAAGATTTTTCACAATTCATAGAAAAAATTTGCGAAAGTCCATAGGCACTCTTTGGATGCACTTAACTTTATGAAATATGTGTTTAGGGTATATATATATATAAATAGAAACATATGCGAGCCTAACATTACACGCATTAAATGTATACTTACATGCAGAATTACATTTCATTTCACACATTTTTGTTGGGAATGGTATTTACATTTCAAAATTACAAATGAGTAATTATTTATAATTAATTTTGGTCGAGGCTGCATTTCATAAATCGCACGGATTTACCAGATTTCGCATTAAAAACTATCGTTACAAAAACTCGCGCTACAACTAATTAAAGTAAATGTATAAATATTCGACTTTTACAAAGTACCTTTAGCTTCTGATTTCTCCCATTTTTACTTCAAGTACTTTCAGTAAATGTTTTCAATGCCGATTTAAAATCGCAATCACTGAATTTTTTTACTATTACAAAATCCATGGATATACAAGTGGTACTCAAAAGTTCGCATAACAGTGACTAGGAGTCACACACATTTCTTACGTTACTAACATTAATCATATCTTTAAAATATACTCATAGGCACATCAATTTAAGTATACGAATTTTTCTGCATCTCACGATAAACAATGCTCTAAGGCACTTCGATTACACGTCACCTTTCCGCTTAACTTTCTTTTTGAATTTACAATGTTAATAGATTACACTTTTTAAATACATCATTATTATTATTATTATTTACACATCATTACATAGCACAATCTCCCGAATTTCATGTAATAAATTATGATTCTTGAGAAAGTAAAAATTAAAAAAAAAACACAAATTGAAAACAAGAATATCACGTATACAATTTCAGTGTAATTTATTTATAAAGTCAAACTTTGGGCAATTTCGGCATCGAAAGATCGCAAGACGAGTTCGACTAGCTTGCACACTCGTCGCTATGTGGATTACAACGACGTTAATGGTAAAAAATAAAAAAATAAAATAAAGAAAAGAGAGAGAGAAAAAAAAAAACTTAGGAAAAGAAACTCATAAAACGAATTATCATTAAATTAAGGCTGGAATTGAGCTGCCAGAGTATTGGCGTTTTATTTTCCGTAACTTATACAGAGTTATGTATAGTTTTTTTTTTTTTTTTTTTTTTATAGTGTCATACGTCCGGCTCCTAGTTAGGGCACTAATCTGGGCACTCGACACTTGGGAGAGGGAAGGGAAGTTATATATAGTTAATGGCACTATGAATCATCAGACTATACCTTTTGGCGCACATTCGCAAAATATTATTATGTTTTTCAATTGACTCTCGTTTAATTTTGAGAGTAAAATATTAATAAAAATCAGTTGATAAAATTACTTTATATTTTTATCAAACGTATATGGTGGTTTTTTAAATGATTTTGTTAATCAATTATTTTTTAAGAATATGATGGTTATACCCAGCCTGTCCATTGCATTCATTTTCATATACGAGTTATGAGGACTAGCCCGTTTGGAGAATAATGATCTTACAATTTAAAAAACGCTCTATTAAACCTACAAGGATTAAATGAAAAAGGAAATTCTTTTTTCACGCTCAAACGTAATATTGTAGAAATTATTTAATTAACAAAAGAAAACACCCCTCTTTTTGTTTAGCATGATTCAATACACTCCTCTTTGGCATTTTACGTTAACATTTTAAACCCCTTACCTGATGTCTATGGTTTGTTATAACTTGTTTATACTTTTGTAATATTTGTAGTTAAGTTTTACAACTCAATCATTGATTTTGCACTGACTAGGACAAATATAATTTATATCGTTTTTGTTAATTTTCGTGCAATCACTTGAGAAATTAAGTAAACATTTAAATAATTAAGATAGTCGACTCTGTAGCCACTAGCATAAAAAAAAGTCCGTTTTAAAACTGTCAAGTTCATAAAAAGTGTTAATTATTAAAATTTTCTGACAAAAAGTAGTCGTTATGGCAAAAATACATGGCAATGCACAAAGGAGTCAATGATGATCTTGTTTGTTTAAATGATTTTCTTTACTAACACGCAACACTTTTATTGCTTTATGCACCTTCGATCAGGATTATTGGATGACGTATAAAAACACTATTTTATGTAACAATTGCTCGCTGATTTCATTGAGATTCAACAAAGATTTTGCAAAGAAAATTCGAACTAAAAAAGTATTCAAGTCTGTTCTACGTAAGTCATTACATAGTCTTATAGAAATTAATAGTCTTTGATTACCACGTGTATACTATATATGCACGTGGTAGCCAAAGACCATCAATTTCTCGAACAATAAGTATCGTTGCCTGCTACCTGTGCCATTTTCGATGCAGTACTAAATAGTAACAAGAGTAGTAGTAATAATAATAATAAAAATATTGATAATAATAATAATAATAATAATATCAAACGTCTAATATCTACATTGATAATATTATAGTTACCGAAGCTTCAAATAGCAAAAGTACGAAAGTATGATAAAATCAGAAAAAAAAAAAAATGGCCATCTCGCATTGTTTTAAATCAAGGTGCTATCATTTCCTGCTTAAATGGTAAAAGTGTATCACCTAAATGGTCCCTATAAGGAAGACATGACAAATCCGTATAGTATTGCAACGCGTGCGGTGATTGTCATCTCGGGAGGGGTGGTACGATAAAAAAAATTTCATAAAAAATAGGTAAAAAAAAAAAAAAAAGTGGAAAACCTCGACTAATACAAGTAACGCCGTTTTTCATAGAACCCTCGCGGTAACGCCGTGACCCACACCACCATCGCATCAGGAAGCGATCGCCACGTTGAAAGTCGTGGCAGGCCGGGGCCTCGTAAACGCGGACAACCTCACGGGATCGTCAAAGTCGAAGGGCAGCGCCCTCTTCTCGGCCAACCTCGGCACGTGCTCCGGATTCGGCGATATCACCGACGTCCTCGCCACCATAAGCCTCGACAACGGGTCCTTACCACCCTGGGACGAACGAGCGGGCCCATCCTCGTCCCGCTCCACCCGCGTCGATCTCGTGTGCTGAATGACGTTCGAGATGCCAGAGCGCAAACCCCGCGGGGGCACGATGACGCTGGTCGGCGACCCCACCGGCTGGGTCGGTTCGGCCGAGCCAGTGGTGGTGGTCTCGGGCTTCTGGTGGGCGTGCGATCTCATGCACGAGGACTCCTCGTGCTTGTACAGGTACGACTTGAGGGCGAAGGCCTTGCCGCAGCGGGCGCATACGTGCGGCTTCGTGTTGGAGTGGGTTTGCACGTGGGCCCGCAAGTTCGACTTGTCGGCGAAGGCCTTGTTGCATATCGTGCACTTGAACGGCTTTTCCCCTGCGCGGACCACGTCATTTTTAGGTCTACCCATGCATACACACATGTACACGTGTTATGATAATAGATGCACGTACCCGTGTGGGTCCTTATGTGTCCCTGGAGCAGCCAGGGCCGGGAGAAGCATTTGCCGCAGTAGTGGCACTTGCAGCCCTGGTTGTGGGTGCGCACGTGCATGCTGAACGCGGGTATGCTCACGTAGACCTTGTCGCAGTGGGGGCACCGGCGAGCCTTCTTGTCGCCGAGCGATCGGTGGGTCTGGCGATGCCGAGCCAAATTGGACGAGGTTGAGTAGTGCTTGCCGCAATCGGGGCACTCGTGGTGCTCCTCGCTCGTGTGTTGTTGCGCCGATGGTCGAGGGCCCACGGGATCTGGCTCGCTGGCCGGTGGCGTGGGCGGTAGCACCGTGTCCTCGGGCTGTGGGAAACGAAGGACACGCGTTTTATGTATGTGGACGAGTAAAATTGGAGAAAAAAAAAAAGCGTGTGTGGTTTCACGCACCCGAAACTCGTGGGGCTGGCATTTGTCGTCGGAGACGAGCAAGGGGGCATGGTGGTCACGCTCGATGACTTTCCGCGTCTTGAGCTCGATGAGGCTCTCGCGCTCGCTCTCGATCCTCTCGAAGAACATTCTCGAGCGTTCGGGCTCGTAACTCGGCTGGTGGTTGTCCTGCAGGTGGACCAGGGTACCGGCTGCCGCGGCCAAGCTCACCTCGGCGAGCTTCGTCAGGTTGTACAGCTCCTCCGGGCACTCGCTCGAGCTTTCCTCGCTCGCGCACTCGCTCGCCCCGTCCGAAGTCGCCTGCTGGTGATAATGATGATGATGATGGTGGTGGCGGTGGCTACCGCTGGCGCAGCTGTACTCGGCCAACCTTACCCCGTGCTCTGGGCTGAATTCTGAAATTTTTGATACCTTTTTTTTTTTTTTTTTTTTTTTTCAAGTTCGGGCGTCGCGTTTTCACTCGCGTGTTTGAAACGGTGGTACCTAATAACTTATGAAATAAACGCGACGTTTACGCCGATCCATTCGAACACTCCAGCGCGTGTTGAATTCTCGGCAGTTTCAAAACGCCGTGCTATAAATAAATTTGTACTTACTCGACGCTTGTTTCGCGATTTTCTCGCGCCCATGTTTTTTTTTTTTTTTTTTTTTCCAGTAACCCTTCATTATTTAAATCGTTTGCTCGTTGATTTTCGTCCACCTCCACAAGTTGGTGAATTTGAATAAATTCAAGAAGTTTGTTAATACCAAAGGTGCACGAGTCTTTGTCAATGTAATCGACCCTGCGCGTTATATGAGTGAGATGGGCGGTAAAAAATGCGTTTTTCAAACAATTCATAAATATATATCATTAGTCTTAATCCATGTGGTTGTTACGTTTTGTTTTTTTTTGTCAAGCTAAAAAAAAGCGTGTTGTTATTTTATTTATTTATTTTTTTTTTTTTTCATCTCAGTTTACAAAAGACATGCCGCTCACGCCGGAGCGTAAGGTGGTTGTTAATAGATTTCGTTGCACACCCGGCGAGGATCTTTGGCTCTTTTTTGGCGTATTTCCAAACACTTGTGAGCATAGAATTCGAAAAATAGCTATTCACTGCTTTGCCGTGGAAAATCACGCGTATTATTCGTTACTCCGCGCGCGCGTGGAATGTTTTTTTCTTTTTTCTTTTTTTTAAGCGCTCATGTGGTTAAAAAGACACGTGCAGGGGAGATGAAAAAAAAAAACAGCATCTAACGAATATTTTTCTGTTGAAAGGCAACTTTTTTGCGAATAAAATATATAACATCTCATTCGAGCGTCGGAATCCGCCCGAGACTCCACACAATGACACGTCACGTTTAAAATCAAAACGTTGCAGCGGTATAGATAATACAATATTATTATGATTACAGCGTAACTTCAGAAGGAAAATTTTAGATATCCCGACATCTCGTGCCCGTCCGCGTACGCTTTCGATGAACGAAAATCGCGGCAAACACGTTGTATACCATCCGATTACACCTATACGGAATTATCAGAAAAAACAAATCAATAACCCACGTTTGGAATAATCGGTCGAGTGGGCGTGGTTAAAAACCTTAAGGGGTTCAGGAGGGAAGGAAGGAGGAGACGCCTTCTTCGCATTAACCAAAGTCAAAAGGGGGAGTTGAATGGTTATACTGCGCACGCGTTGGTTTAACCAACGCAAATTTTTATAAGGTATAGGTACACCGCGATGATGGTCGCATGGGGGCTGCAGGTCAAAGGTACATCTGACCATATACTAATTTCTACTCGCTCAAGCAATTAGTCAATTTTTTTTTTTTCAATTGATCTTTTTCGCGTGAATGTTGTGATGTTATGCGGTTGGGTGATCTTGATGGGTATATCGCGGGGGGATTTAAATATAGATCGAAGGTGATGATCAGGGTTCAGTGAACTTTTCTTGTTTTTTTTTTTTTTTTTTTTTGTTTTTTTTTTCTGCTCGAGTAATTGAGTAATCCTAAGTGGTGGAGGAACGTGGCGCTCGTTACGGGGATCGTAATTGTTGGTTCTTTCGTCAAAGTCGGCAAACGCTCGTTCGACTCGAGTTTTATTTTTTCCTCCACTCCCCGAAAGCTCATTGATTTCCATGGATTTTGAAATTTTTTTTTTGCACGTTTCGCCCTGCTACTCAGTGATTTTACAACATCAATTACAATACGGTTTCAGGTGGTTCCGCCCACTGGGCAGGCCTTTGATTTTTTCGCGGGCCTCTGCTTCAACAATATTGCGATACCACTTATCATTATCAAAGAGGGGTTTAAAAGGACTATTATTTCAATGTAACAACAACAGACACGTTCCGATATCATTTTTCGAAAAATTGGAAACTTAGGATTTTTTCTAGTCACATGCAGGGGCCTTTTTTTGTATGTGCGCCCTAAAAAAAGACAATCTCCAAAATTACTTTTTTTTTTTCTTTTTAACACAACATCCTGTGCAATAAAGTAGTTAAATTTTGAAGCACAGTTTCCGTATAACAAATGCATCATAATGGCGCGGTATGGCACGCACTTGAGCTTTTCCGACCGCATCGGCGTCAAAACACGCCGACCGAGCGCCGCAACTTCATAGCAAGGGATGTGCGTCTTTTCCTGCGCTTCCCTTCCCCGCGTCACGTTTTTCGATTTTTCCTACCCCAGCTGATGCAGCTTCCGAGGCCAATGACCTCTTGCTCCCCTTGTACCGAAGTTTTCCGCGTAAGTTTACCTTTGGCTTTTCCAATGGTATATACTTGCCGACTCATTCAACGCGAGGTACTTCATTGCGTTGTGTCTTTTACAAGAAAATCTCAGACTTGTTGCGTTTTACGTTACGTTACTTGTCATTGAAACAATGCTTGAAAAAAATAAAAAATTCATTTAATGGGGATTTCCTTATATTTTCATGTAATCGTACATTTATCTGTGAATTTAGCGCGTCAAAAAACAAGTTAAATAATAAATTGATTGTCATCCGATGTTATTAGACATTACAAGTATAGTAAGTATGAAGTTGTTACGTCGAAAAAATATACCTCCGTGAAACTTGTACGGGTGTTTTTTTTTTTTTTTTTATAATTATGACATCCCAAGGGATTCGAGTCGGTGAAACAATCGTCACACGACAGCAAACGTTTTATTCAGTTGGTATTTTTGCCCAAATAAATGTAAAATCTTGAACAGTTTCGCGAGAAGGAGGAGAAAAAGAAACAAGTAATAAACAATGATGCAAAGCGGGTGAAATCGTAACTGGCTGTGTAAGCGTGGCGCGGTAATTTTAGATCTAGAAATCAAAGCTGAGACGCAGAAGGAAAACTCACCTCCGCACGAAGCTTCTTCGAATTCGTTGGTGCCATTGTACCGACGACTGGTGACGAGGAACGCCCTGGGCATCTTTTCCTATGGATCCCCGCGCACTTGAAAAAAAAAAAAAAAAAAAAAAAAAAAAAAAAGTGTAACAATAATCAAGTCCCGTTCGTCGATCACAAAAACAACAGCAACAACAAACGAGGGGCCATTGTTTCCACCACTAGTTTCCAACTCACTCCTGAGCCACCAAAGCGGTATATACTGTATTTGTATGATATTAATATCGGTAAGAAGTCACGTAAAAATGCGACATTAGGACGACAAACTATGAAGGTATGGGTGCACAGATGTGTAACATGTACGATTGTTACGAGATCGGTGATTGAGCAAGTTATAGCCACGAGGAATCGGCGCCACGCGCTCAAATCATCAATTGTACATTGTGCGGACTGAGCGCGTGCCTGGGGCGCAGTGGTGGCCGGGCCAGTGCTCCGGGGCTACATATAGCCTGCAGCTTCCCTCGCTCTCTCCTCATCTTTTAATATTTCTTCCCTCCCTCTCTCTCTCTCTCTCTCTCTACTCCCGTTTGGTGTACGACGCGCGTGGCCCACCCGAGATTTTTCGAAGCCCCCGAGGGTCCCCACCTCCGTTGCCACCACCGCTGCATGTGTACACACGTCGCCAAGGAGAGCTTTCCCCTTTGGTGCCCATGCACAGCTGCCTCTATATACCTACCGTGTGTATACATGTGCCGGCAGCCACCCCGAACTATATATTGTATGTTCCAAGACTCCCTCCCACCCCACCCGCGCACGTGCACTTTTTACTTACTTGCTTTTGCTGTCACTTTCTGTTTCTTTTTTTTTTTTGTTTTTTTTTCTCTCCCCTATTGAGTTACTTTTATTTACTCCAAACCCCACGTTGACGACGCCCCAATTCCCCCTGTTTTTTTGCATTGCCGTCCTTTTTTTTGCCACATCTCCTTCCTTCCCCGCGTGATTGCCGATCTGCTGGTATTGGAAATAGGAAATAAGGGCCGATACGTATAATTGCATCATCGAGGGGAAGTGTTTTGTTCGTTTTTCGCCAACTTTCGCTTCAAGGGGGGTTGACTTTTTATCAACTCATATACATTGATATTATTCATCACTTTTACAGTATCGTGTTTGTATGGACACATCCTTTTTTCTCTCTCTCTCTCTCTCTTCGCGATGGACGCACTTTCTCTCTCGAGTTGGAAAAGCAACAGGTAGCGATATTCGTATGTAAACATCGTCCCGTGTTGTATAATCCACGGGATCAATCTTTGCTCAACCGCGCCTAACTTCACCCCGACTGATGCGATTTAGTGCTTATTTACATTTAAACAATTGTCACTTATCATTAGGTATATTATACATATTGATTGGCTGTATCATATATACACGATCCATCGACAATAATCGTGTGAATCCTGAAAGTGCGCCCAAATATAAATGGTACAGGGTGGGAGAGGGACGATCGGCGTTTTTTAATAAAAAAGTACGCGGGCGCGTACGAGCATAGTTGCTTTGCGTATACGGACCCTCGCGATTATCGTGAGCCTCTCTCCGGGTGTGTATATGCGCACACGCCGGGGGACCACCACCGCCACGCTCCATACCTACGGCAACGTGCGTGTACTCGGTTCTATTTTCGACGGCGACGCCTCCGCCCTTTTCATTTTTTTTTCTTTCTTTTTTTTTTTTTTCTTTTCCAGCCTCCTGCTGCTGCTGCTGCCTTGCTTCTTTACAACAACTGTAAAGGCTCTCTCTCTCTCTCTCTACGTTCGTTTTGGTACTAACACGAGCGGGTATTCGGATTTTTCAGATCAAATGGAATACAGGAAGTTCCCCGATTGGAGGTAACCTGCCGATGCTTTGATTCGCCTCGTCCGACTTGGACACTTATTGTCCGAGCTTCATTAAATAAGCTCCAGAATTACGTGCTCTACATTTCTCGTAATCTGTTAAATAAATCCACTTTGCTCGAGTGAAACGTTCAAAAAGGTAAACTTTTTGTTGTCATTCCAAAGACTTGCGACAAATCGACGGCAAAAAAAAAATAATAATAATAATAATAATAAAATAACTGGTGAAAATAATGTTTATACTTATTTGATATCAATGTAAATATGTCGTCAAGAATGAAAAGGCTCGTCAAAGCTTCTAAGAGTCGGCAGTATTAAGTAGGTATATAAGCATCGAAGCTTTCGAGACGAGGCGCAACCGAGAGAGTTTAGACTTCAGCTTAGTCAGCGACGACGTGCAACTGCGATATAATAATATATAATATATATATACCTATACACAAAATAATGTGTTTAATCGCTATGCCGTGTGCAGGCTAAATCGGAGTGCGTTGCTTTTGGACACGAGCCAACTATCGTAGTAGTCGTAGAGAGAGTCGGTATACGTCGGGAGGAACCACTCGCTACGTTAGAAAGAAGCCGACGCTTGTGTACCTATATACCTATAGGCGTGGCATATGCCGGTGGCACCAACCTGCCGACCCGAGAGCTTTTATTCACAAAAACTAAAACGATGAGCTCGCTCATATACGTATACATGTATCGTACGCGTTACCTATATATATTTTACTGCATAATGTTATACGTCATGGAGTATACTTGATTATCAGTACGTTTGGCGCGATCGAAATTCAGTCTGTACCCAGTCTGTGATGACATGAGCTATTTTCTTTCAAAGCTATATACGATATGGACACCCGCACGTTCTGATCATTTTTCTCGAGCTCCATTTCCAAACATCGAAACCTTGTGTACAAAGTGTGGAAAAGAAAGCTCTTTAACCCCGGATGAAAAAACAGGTAGTTACGGTACATAGCATTGAGAAAAATCAGTGCCCTGAAAGACAGAAAAACATGCACACGTGCCATCATCACCCCCCCCCCCCTTTTGTACGTACAAGAGACTCGATGAAACAAGGCTCGCGCAAAAGTACACAAACTTCGCGAGTGCCTTTTATATTTTACTCGCGCTTACGTAAGCCGGGCCGACATCGATGACGACTCTCTCATCCTGCCAACTATCAGTCGTCACACGCCGTGGAACACTTAAAGACATCCCTCTTTTTTTTTTTTTTTTTTTTTTTTTCCATTTCTCCACGTACATCGATGAGTACAAAAGTCAAGATGGTTTGCCACGGATGCAATATACGCATCCCAGATGACGCAAATTTCATTTATACAGTGATCCGTGCAACCTGCTGTTGTCAAATACAGTGAGGCGTCGCATTTTTTAAAAATAAGAATTCCACCGTCTCCTGTCACCTCGCGCACACCTCCTCCCGGTGGTTGCCGGCTTCACATAAACACGTTTAGATACGAAAATCACCTTTCTTCGAGTGTTACGCGCGTCGCCAAAAATAAAAGCTCGCGCGCCCCGGAGACCAGAGATTCTCTTCTGACGCAAGTGCGGCTATACATCGTATATATACGCCGATCAAAGGCGCTACATACTCGCGAGATAGCGTGTGTATATATATATATATATATATGTGTGTGTGTGTATCACTGGCACGCCAACGGCCACCTTTTGCTCTTCTCTAATAATATCGGGCACTTGTCTATGTGTACTCACTTACCCACGCGATAATAGAGCTTTCAAGCACATAGACCTGGTCCACCTATAAATTACATGACGTATAATATGTTTTTGTTTTTACTCGGAGAGAAAACGATATATTTCAACCTCGTGTAAGTGTGTATTAACATGCATGTAGGTGCAGGTGGTGATTGGGATGATTACGCTGATAGTGGTTCGCGCGGGGGAGGGACGATTCTCTCTGATGTTTCTCGGTTTTGGGGGACCAGTATACGCTGCATAAATCCAAGTGTTGGGTTAAAATAGAGCTTGCGTGGAGTTACCATTTCTCTATTTCTTCTCAAGCGATTGGCCAGTTAAAAAAGAAAGTATTCGATTGGCCGAATAGTTCTTTCATCAAGTGGTGCAATAATTATTACCGTTTGATAAATCATTGAGAACAAATCAAAATAGTTGTTTTTTTAAGTAAAATTCGTTGAACAGTTGGTTAGAGGCTTATTTTGTTTATCCCTCGAGCATTTTTTTAAACATATAGAAATTAAAAGTTTTCTTCATCGAACAAGGATAAGGAACACACACCCACTCGTGTTTGTATGTATACGAAAAAAGTCGAGTCGCATTCAATTACTTTATGGTAGACCATAGAGCAGTTGTATTTACCAGCTGGGAGGATGTAATACACCCATACGCCTATTATAACCATATCACCTATTACCACCCGCGCTTGTATATAGAATAGATTGTGTGCATGCGTCGCGTGGCGGGGCTCAAAAGCGCGTTAATCATATATACCTATACATGTACGCCGAGCCACGTGTCGCTACAACTATATTATATTACGTGGGTGTGTACATATAATATACACTCTCTCAGAAGGAAACGGCGAGGGGCTACAAAAAATTTCGAAAGATGACGGGACCCAAGTATATGGATAAAGATTTCAGAGAAGAATCAAGCTTATGCGTTCAACACTTTCGGCTCTTAATGGTCTTGTGAATGGTTTTTCGTTGCTTACTCTTTTTTTCATCCGTGTCTCGTTGATGCGGTCGTCCGTGTCGTTATGATTATTGTGCTTTTAAATAACGTTACGCGAATAATATATACATACACACTTGTAAAAAAATAGGCATTTACAACATATTTTTTTTTTTTTTTCTACGGATATGAGATCACTGATTTTATACTTGACTTTTGAAAATAAATTTAAAAAACGGGTATCCGACGTATACGCGTTTACTTGTGTAATGATGCACGTGCGCCTCGAAAAAAGGAAGAAAAAGCAGTGCGTCTATTCGAAAAGTGCCCGGAAACGCCTGGTTCGTCCCCTCAACTTATTACCCACCCGCGGGTTTGCCGTCTTCTTAGCTTCTTTTCCTTCCCGTTTCTCAATCCTTCCCCCCCCTTTTTTTTTTGTTGCTGCCCCTGCTACGTTGTAAATAAGGAAAAATGAGAGGTATTTATCTCAAAGCGCGAAGGGATACATGACAAGCACGACTGAGGC